AGGTCTTGATGGTAAGTTTTGTCTTTTTGCTGATAATACTAAGATATGTAACAGGGTTGATGTTACAGGAGGGATAAACCAAATGGCAAATTATTTAAGTAAACTAGAAAAATGGTCAGAGTTGTGGCAGCTGACATTTAATGTGGATAAGTGCAATATAATGTGCAAGATAATGCATTATGGATGTAGAAACCCAAGGGCAGAGTACAGAATATTTGATAGAGTCCTAACCTCAACATCTGAGGAAAGGGATTTTGGGGTAATTATTTCATATGACTTAAAGGTAGGCAGTCAATGTAATAGAGCAGCAGGAAATGTTTGCAGAAAGCTTGGTTGTAAAGGGAGAGGCATTAGCAGTAGAAAGAGGGAAGTGCTCATGCCATTGTACAGAACACTGGTGAGACCTCACTTTGAGCATTGTACGCAGTGCTGGAGACTGTATCTCAAGAAGGATATTGAGACTGTAGAGAGAGTTCAGAGAAGAGCTACTAAACCGTTTCATGGATTTCAGGATAAAACTTACAAGGAAAGGTTAAAAGATCTTAACATGTATAGCTTGGAGGAAAGACAAGACAGGGGGATACGATAGAAACATTTAAATACATAAAGGGAATCAACACAGAAAAGGAGGAGACTATATTTAAAAGAAGAAAAACTACCACAACAAGAGGACACAGTTTTGAATTAGAGAGGAAAAGGTTTAAAAATAATATCAAGAAGTATTACTTTACTGAGAGGGTAGTGGATGAATGGAATAGCCTTCCAGCTGAAGTGTAGAGGTTAACACGTGAAGGAGTTTAAGCATGTGTGGGATAGGCATAGGGCTATCCTAGATATAAGATAAGGCCAGGGACTAATGAAAGTATTTCGAAAATTGGGCAGACTAGATGGGCTGAATGGTTCTTATCTGCCGTCACATTCTAGGTTTCTATGTCATAGACACAATCAGCAAGACAGTGAACCTATCACCAGAAAGGATGGAAAGGATTCAAGTAAAGATCAAGAATCTTCAATACGAACCACATACAACAACAAGATAATTTATGAGCCTGCTGGGCTCACTCACGTCCACTATTGAACTAGTAAAATGGACCCAGTGGAAGATACGACCCATTTAGATGGAGTTCTTACTCCAATTTAAAGAAAAGGGAAACAGTTGGGATCAGAAAATTCTTCTCCGCCCAAGCGCTAAAGACAGACTATCTTGGTGGATAAAAGTGAAACACCTACCTCTAGGATTCCCATTACAGGCACCAAAATGGATTACTGTTACTACAGATGTAAGTCTACACAGATGGGGTGCTCATCTAGGCAAGAGATAGAGAGAGGGAACATGATCTTTCATTCAAATCTAAGAGAACTGAGAGCTATATACAAGGCTCTGCAGGGGTTCCATCATTATTTATCTTCATGGGTGAGAATCCAAATGGACAACAGAGCTGTGGCTTCCTACATAAATCACCAGGTGATTAGGAATTAGGCACTCTGACGGAATTTGCCCAGACCAAGCTACAAGGTCTAAAAGCAATATACCTTCCAGGCCCAGAAAACATATTAGCAGACTACCTGAGCAGAACTATGATTAAGAGGGATAATGGAAATTACATCCAGAAGAGGTTCAGATGATATCCCTACGGTGGAGCACACCCTAAGATAAACAATGGTTTTTGAGCAAGAATACAAGTCCCCAGATATTTCTCTATCCAAGCAGACCACCTATCAGCAGGTCAATATGCCCTATCTCTTCCATGGGAATTCAATTTGGGGGTATGCATTTCCTCCCCTACCGATAATTCACCATTTACGTTGAAAGATTTGAAAGGAAGTAAGAAAGGTGATCACTAGCATCCCAATTTGGCCAAGGAGACCTTGGTTTCCACTCCTGAACAGAATGAGACAGGTTCCTCCTTGACCACTTCCTCAGAGACTGGACATACTAATTCAAGGACCAGCAGTTCGCCCCAACCACAGCAAACTGAAATTGGGGGCTTGGCTCTTGAAAAGGAAAGACTCCTAGAGCAAGTGTTATATCTGTGGTTGATATTTCCCCATCCTCCTGCTATCACAGAATATGGGACACCTTTTGTACATGGTCTAATCAGAATTCCATTGACTTCCTTCATCCGAACAATACTAACATTAAAAATTTTCTTCATGCGGGACTAGAGAAAGGTTTACGTCTAAGCCTCACCTGCATTATGCAATGTCTTGTGGGCATTTGATCCCTTGATTGCGAGATTCTTCAAAGCAAGCAATTATTCTCCTCCTTGACGTTTTGTCAGATTCCCCTTTTGCTCCATTAGATGAGCTGGGTATCAATTTTCTGACATACAAGACCTTGTTTTAAGTGGCAATAACCATAGCTAACCAAATGTCTGAGATTCAAGCCTTTTCTAGTGATAAAGACCATATTCAGATCTCCCATGACAGAGTGGTCTTAAGAGCTAGACTAGAATTTCTACCTAAAGTGGTCACAATTCCACATTATCCAGGAAGTTAACATTCCTTCTATCCAAACCCTTCAGCGGAAGAAAAAAAACTTAATTAGCTGGATGTAAGAGAATGTTTAATTAAATACCTCTCTCAACAATTTTGGAAATACTAGCATTTATTTGTTCTTCCAACACGATCCAGAAGAGGCGAAACAGCCTCAACCTCCACTTTGAGACATTGGATTTCTAATACTGTAACAAAAGCCTATCATTTGGCCATTCTATCTCCTCCTGAGAAGGCTCACTTTACAAAGGCATTGTCAATCTTCTGGGCTAATTGGGCAGAGGTTTCATATGAGGACATTTGCAGGGAGGCCACCTGGTCCTCTCCAACAACCTTCATCAAGCATTATAAGCTGGATTTGCTTTCTTCCTCGGCGGCTCTGGGAGAAGCGTATTATCTTCAGTTGTACCTATCATGGGCAGAACTACCCATAAGTGATAAGTGATGCTGCCTTGAATAATAGCCAGGAAAAGAAAATTACGGTAAATATGAAAACGGTCTGTATTTTTGAAGGTACATTTATTCTATAATAACCACTTGGGATTTTCAGGGGATAAATGATTCGAGATGATGCAAATGATGAAATGCAGAAATTTATGATTAAAAATGTTGCATATATTTTTAGAAGTTTTATTTTATATTTTTGCGAGGATCCTGAAAATTGGTGATGTCTTTTTGCTGTTTGTGCTTCTACAAGAAACACTACATCCACAGAATCCATATTTGTGTGAAAAAAAAATAAATGGATGTTTATTTACATCTCCAATATGGTTTTACGCCATTTTATCCCATTTAAATTTGGTTCTTCTCTAAAGATGTGGTTTATTCCTGTAAAATCTTTAAAAATACTGTCACTTTAAAACTAGGCCAACATTTGTCACTTGTCAACAGTTTTTTATTAAAATCGTATACACTGTATTTTCTAATTTTCCTTAACAGCTCTTTGTTTATAGTCCAAAAGAGATTCCTTGTTATTTTTTCTATTTGTTTAAACTATTGTTTCAATAAAGGTTTCAAAAACTGTAGTTTCTTCTAACCGTCAGAAGTTTTTGTTGGGTGGGAGGGGGAGGGAAACATCGGTAGCTCACCAGATTTGCAACCTAGCTGTGCCCCCTGGTAAAAAAAAAAAAAAAAAAAATGTTGGAGTTCCTAAACTGCCATGAACAGGTTGGCATAGCTGGGCACAAACCTGGTTCCCATCTTAAATTTTTCTTAAGTGTTTATCGTAAATTGCCATTTATCCCGTAAAAATCCAAGTGGACATTTAAGGATAAATGTAACATTAAATGTATGTATTTAGTAAACCATGAATACATAGTTTATTTTTATTAAAAGGTTCTCTCAATACTGTACATCTGTTTAATTAATGTTCCCCTTGTTCGACCATTCTCTTTCCATCCCCTGCCTTTACATAGGTGTAAATTAGTTTAATCTTTATTACAAACTTATAATGTAAGGACATTAAATTACTGCAGAACATTGAAAATAAGTATATCTTCTCGCTTTTCCCCTTCAGTAAAATTAAAAACATTGCGCAAAGGACTATGGATGTAGTAGTTCAGGAGTATGTGATTCGCATTAAACAGTCGTTCACTTGAATGATAGCCATATTCCAGAAGTAAGGTGTTGGGAATAAAATCCGATACATCACTTCCAATCGGCAAATATCATAAATTGGAAGAAATGGACACCAGGGAATTCTGGAAACTGAGGGTACTCTCATCACAGAAGGCAAGCGTCGCCTCTCTTTAATAGAATACGCCAACTCCACCCCTAGAAAGTGAGCAGATTGGGCCAAAACTAAAAGGACATTAAAATTTTAAGGAAGACCCAGGGAATTTTATAGATATCAATTGAAAGCCTATAAACTCACAAAACTCGTTTTAAGGGCCTTCAGGAATGCAAATTTTCATTTGTTACTTTTGATTTTTCAAATTTAATTTCAATAAACGTTTGATACGTAGTAACTGCTTGCCTATATTCCATATACTGGTTTGGAACAAACAAGGGGGCCTTGTCACTCTAATAGGCAACCTACAAACTTTGAGCCAAACTTTTATGGACTGAAGATAAAGGTGTGCATCCCAACTGGTTTTATTACTCACACATTTTACTTTGCGATATCGCACCAGAGAGTTGTTTAACCCTTTACATTTACTTATCCAAAAACAGATTTACTACCAGAATAGGGTCTGTTGCCACTGAAAGAGCGCAAAGGCACGTACATTCAGAGCCATATCGTTTAGAAGGCTTTTTCCATTTTGAGCTTACATGTACAATATTGCACGATTGTATTTTTTCTTTTGGTATTCACATATGAACAACCCACCACAGAAGTTTAGTTAGGGGGTAAGTGTTCTTTTAATATCATTAGCGCCACACTGGCACTTAGTGTTTTGTGTATGGGGACATATCACCTAAAGACTAAAGTATATTTTTGGTTTTGACCTGGTTGTATTTGCCTCTCAGTTTGAACTAATAAGGGGGAAAAGGAGAAAATCCAATTTTATTTCAGATATCCTTTATTAAAAAATACTGTACACAGGAAGAAAACAAACACAAAACAAAAAACAAAACAATAAGTGGGTAACATTTTGGGGATCAGGATAGAAGAAATTAACATGAATGTGCATATTAAGGGAAGTTGTTGATAATACAGAATCCAGAGAAAAGTACCCTCATTGTAATATTTACACAGCAGAAAATTAAAACGTACACAAATTCTTTAAAAAAAGAACCCATATGATTTTAAACATTGCTCTGTGCTTGTATCCATTAAAGAAGTAGGGTAGTTGAGTACTCTCTCCTTATGCAAAAACCAAAACACAAAATATCATGCCTCAGGATTATTTAGAACCCTTGCAGCAAGACTTGGAGCACGTTACGATGTTTTTCGACAGATTTTTAAATGGGGTTGAAACAGAGCCCCTAAAAATCTAGGAGTGATAGTACAGTCCTGTTTGTATAGTTGGAACTCCATAAGTACATGCATGTACTGTATTACCAAACATCAACATTCCAGGATAAAAGTGTTAACTGTGGCGATTTTATTTTTTGTTTTTTTAAATCCTGAGATTAGTGTATGGTCTGAAGCAAAGAGACTGACATAATTAAGCAAATCATTGTTTTATTATAAAATGGAGGGCAAGATGCTGGTCTGTTAATGCTGAAAGCTGATAAAAGGTCTGCCAGTTTGCTTTCACACACACACAAAAAAAAAAAAAAAATTGGTCCCAAAAAGTAAACTAGAGGAGGAAAAAAAAAAAAAGAAAAGAAAAAACCCACACAAAATAAACTATGATCCCCTTTACCTATGCAGTGCTAGAAAGGTAGGAAATGACAGTCATTACAGGCCCTTGAAGCATTGATAGGTAAAAACAAAATCTAAAATAAAAATCTGTCCGCTTATAAATTAAGCATCTCCTACAATGCAAGGACTTTTTTGTACAAAAGAAATTGCAATATGATTTTTCCAAAACATAAAAAAACAGCTGCTTCCTCGATATAAGGTAATGATAAAATACAGTTCTTGCTTGGTTGTTTTTCCTCAGACTGTTTCAAATATATAAAAAAATGTGGCAATTTGTAACAATATTCCCAAGGCTGTTTTTTTTTCCCTGTTAAAAAATGCCAGTGCATCAAATGTAGACGATACAATATAAATTTTTATCCTTTTCACATCGCAGGAATGATAAGGTACCGATGTAAAGGTCTGTCCCTGTATGATGCAAAGTCCCTGCTGAGAGGCTTATCATAGCTTAAATTAAGAAAAAAAAAAAAAAAATTGCATGGAGAAGTGTTTAAAAACCTTCTCTGAATACTACAAAAAGGCTGAGAATCATTAAAATTGAAATATATATACATACACACACATACATACACATATATATATATATATATATATACTCAAATATTATTTAAAAAAAAATATTTCTGATGAAGCCACATTTTGTTCAAGGATGTCTGGCAAAGCAGTTCAGGAAATAAAATAAATTCAGTGCCAAAAAAAGATTATACATTTATGCCTCTACCAATAAATTTCTATATATTTGGCAGTCACTCTTTTATAGGTAATTTTTAATAATCCACTGAATACTCATGGTGCACAGCTCAATATAACCTTCAAAGCTGCAGATTTCTGGAGTCTACTAAAAACGTTACATCTTCTGCAATTAGCCCAAAGTGTAACCTATAATATTCCCCCTGCAGAAGCTTCCAGATTCCAAGGCTCTTCCAGGGAAATGCTGCATTAAGGTGTTAACAGTGTCTCAGTATCCAGTGTAAAGTACTCAAATAAAGCTGTCGTTCTTAAAGGGATAAAGAAAACTCATCAAATCAGTTCACATAAGCAGATCAGGTAAGCACGAGAACCTATGTACAAAACTTTGCAAAAAAAAAGGCGCTGGTTGTGTTTTATGCAGTTAACCAAAAACCCCCAAAAAACAAAAACTGCTTATTATGCTCAATTCGTTCAATGTGTTGACAAAGTTCCAAATTCAGTTAATGGATGCTCCTTTGATTATTTCCCACATATTTTGCAGTCTGCTTGATAATTGATAAGTGGAGGAAAAAAAATATATGTATATATATATATATTTGTATGGAACTGATCCACTACCTGGTCCTTGTACTTAGATATATACAATTTTGCAATAATTGTGATGACAAAAACAGTGCCCTGAAATGTCCTGTTAGCATTCCCTTAAATGTTCATACACTGGTGACGCTTCGAAGATCAGAAAGGCTTCAAATTAAAATTAGTGCATACACAAGTGAAAAATAAAAGCAGGAACATCATGCACCTGATGGTGTTCCAATTTTTTTTTTTTTTCCTTTCTTTAAAATAAAAAGTCTTCACAGATAAAGCCTCCGTTGGCAGCCATAGCTCAAAGAAAAATGAAACATTCTTTCCTTCAAGTAACAGTGTACCTGACTGAGTGCAAGCAGCGTCTCATCTCCTGTTTGATTCCCATTTGTGAAATGAGATGACAATGACAATGCAGCTGTAGTGCAATTTGCTATTTGTTTAGTTCTTCAGCAATGTCCTGCATGCTTTCAGCAAATACTACAACTGGCCATTTGAGGCCGCAACAAGTTCCTGAAATGTGTTTTCAAAGCAGCGCTTAAGATCACTGTATGTTACCACAAGCACACTCTTCTCGTCTCTGGAAATTAGGCTCATTTTCTCTGGCACACCAGCATCCAGCTGAAAAGAAACAGGCACATCAGTTATGCATGGATGAATACCATAAAAATCCACCACGATTACATTCAGATCAGAAGAGACCATAAAGCAGATGAGTACTCCACATATTGCAAGCATTACACGACATGAGTTACCTTGTTAAGACAAGTCACAATATGACTGAGATCGATCCATGGGGTTCCTGCTTCAGTCACCTGATGAAATAGATGATCCCTAAAGAGTTTCAACAAGTATCTGTCCCCTGTTTCAGACCAGGCTGGGTCTTTCTGGAACCTATTTTAGAGAAGCACACAACTGAACATTTACACGGTGTACACTATAATCAAACTTGCAAAGCAGGATTACACAGAAGGCTGGCAATGCAGCACTGGATTCAGTTATTCAAGGAGAATGAGCAGCAGGTCTCCAAAGATTCTCTATGAGGAACATTTGATTGGACTAAAACCACAGATTATCTCAAGATGAGATTGCATCAGTGATGGAATAAAGGAAAGATTAACAGCATTTTAAAAAGTTTCTACAGAGAAGGGCCCATAATGCAATTGAAAAGCAACATTCAATTCTTGCCTTGTATCCAGCAGCATGCTGCTCTTGACATCTTTATATCAGCAAATCTAGTGTGTCTCCTCTCTCCCTCCTCCCCCCACCAAGCATTGGAGACTAGGACACGAGGTTGGCAAAACACTGCTCTCCAATCAAATGTCATGTGAGCAGCATTTAATTAAATAACAGTTACTTATTCAGCGGAAAGGCCTCTAGTGGCTGTCAGAAGATACGAGGAGAGTTAACCATGCAATAAAAACATTGCCGTATGTACAAAATGGCCTGTACATTGCAGGACTAAATGGACCATTGCATTGATAATTATACTGTGGCTATTAAATTTTGTATTTTTTGCGGTGGGGGAGGTTAAGCTTTATTTAAACTTATGAAAATAAAACCTCAGTGAAATATGCAAAAAAACAAAACTGCAAACATATGAGGATAAGCAAATAAGTGGTTTATAACCTATAAGTGTTTTTTTAATAAGGTCTTTGTTAAAACCTGGTATCTTACTCTGGTCGTTCATTAATTGTTCCCAGCTTTGCCAACAGTCTGAACAACCTTCCATTCTGCACTTCCTGTGGGGAAACAAAGCAGGCCTGGATTTACAATACAGACATTGATGCACTGGTGTGACAGTGTGGTCAATACACCTTCCTCCCTGAAGAATGAGAAAACCGCATAAGGCCATTTTCCTGCACTTATCACACGCAGTAACCCCAACCACAAATTTCCACACTGGAACAGATGAAGGCTGTCAATGAAAGAGCAGAAAGTGTTGGCGAGCATGCAGCATGAGCACACTACAAGACGTGGGCGCACAAATATGCATAAAAATACATGGAAAGTTCGACAAGACACATGCATCAAGCACAAACTAAAACAAAGAGGAGGCAGACACAATTTAGGCATCCAGAGGGATATTTACTAAACTGAATGGAAATGCACACATAAGAGGGGCATAGAATGCGAAAGATGAACTACACATTTCAAATATCTTTTGGTTGGGGGTTTATGAAATATGCTGAGCTCTAAAGGAGATCTATCACAAGTACTAAATAGTGCACTACCTACTTAATTTCAGCAAACTGCTGTTACTCTGAAAACCGCTGTGACCACTCTTAACATTTAATAGTCTTCGAAACATGGCCACAGAGGTCAACAGAATAGCAAGTATGAAAGCTAGGTTCAAGAACTCCCTTTCTGTATATGTAGAAATAAACAGTTTTGATACAAAATCTTGTGTTCAAAAGTGTTGTCAAAACAGGAGTACAAATACAGACTGAACATAGCTCCTAATGCATTTCATTAATATGTTTACAGTTTATGATTATGCATGAAAGGAGCTTTGCTCGGTTTGTATTTACCCACTATTTTTGAACACAAAAGAATTTTATAACTGAATGACAGGCTGTTCATCTCTACATATACAGACAGTTCCTGAAACTCTTTCAAATTCCATATGATCAGCTCACTCTTAATAGGGCTGGGATTGAAGATCTTCTGGTTTGGCAAGAGCTAGCCAAAGTGAGCTTATTGGTTTCATGTTTTGAATGCACTGGATTCCTTAAGCCTCGTTACTTTAACTCCAGTTAAAGGAGCGCAAATAAAAAGAACAATCTAGGCTTAAGATGAATTCTAAAAGAGCACATTAAAGCTTTGAACTTAAATGTAAATGTGCAGGTTTTCTTCATTAATCAAAAGGATTGCTTTGAGTGTACCTTTGGTGCAAAGTAGTCAGCCCCCTCACCCCTTTTTTTTTTAAGGTAGTGATTTCGAGTCAAGTGATGTCAAGTACTGTCTAACCCCAAAACTTTGGATTTAAAGATGTCCGATGTTCTGATACAGTGTTACCTTTGCAAGGTCCTCCTCTATGACATCATTACGCATTTGAGCAGAGTCCAATTGAGTATAAAACCTAGCACCAATCATTGGCATAATGTCATTTACACTGCGTAGCCTGTTTTGGTCAGTCAGCAAATATCTGCAGAGTAACAAAAAGTTCAAGTTAGTCTAAGAATACAAAACACCCCAATATAAAATAATGTAGAAGTACACAGTATGCCAGTGCAAAGTTTAAAACCATAAGCAAAACACATGCAATTAAAAAGGTTCTATTATGTATTTGATGCTTACCAGCTGCACGTTTTTTCGCTGGTTAGTTAAGGTGAGCCAACAGTTATAATATTTAGGCAAAAATAGACAATGAAAATTGTAAATTGAAGATTTTCCATTACTATTATTAGTAACTATTAATCTGCCACAAAGTACTGCTTAATGAAAAATCCTATACATTTAATACGGTTTACATGCACACTGCCTCACAAATCTAGCTTATCCAAGACTACAAATATGGGACTCCAAAAGCAATTTAACTGAGATTTTGAGGGTGGTTAACTGTTTAAGCACCATAACCACTGCAGCACACTATAGCAGACATGTGATAGAAAGAACAATCTGTCTTTTCACTTTGTACAATTCATGTTCTTCGACAAAAAGCCTAATTTTCATTGACATATTTAAGCAGAGGTTTTCTTATACCTCTATTTCAATTTATATTTGCCAACATTTCCAAAATTTAGTGTGCCCTTACAAAATTAGGTTCTTCAAATCAGAAGAGTAGTTTATGGTCACAAGCTCCATTGCTTTCTGTAGATTTTCCCGTTGAATGCCTGCCAGAGAATTGCAAGCCAATGCCAAGACAACCTTTCCCAAGGAGATCATATCTGCTTGCTGGAAGAAAAATAAAATTTTGGTTCTAGAACAAATTAAAAACTCAGTAAATCTGTTTTAAGAATGCTAGAAGAAAAAAAAAAATCCTACTGGATACGCTCAAGCAGCAAACCAGTGCAGTGAAGGTTCTAGCACACCCATTAAATACATTGATAACAAGCATTGTTTTTACATTAATGTCTTACCTGGTACTGAGGCATAAGAGCTACTGGATTCTGACTGCCATCATATGTTAAAACATCACAGATCCCAACACAGTTTATACGAAGCCTTAAATATGGAGAGAGGAAAAAAAATCCAGTTAAAACTTTCCATTCTTTTATTTTATAAGGCTTTAATGTTCAGAGTTTCAATGTTGTTTTTATGAACAGTTTTAAGTACAGAACATATCCTGCATTTATGCGTGGAAAGAATAAAATACTACATGCTGAGAAAGCAGCAGAAATATTCAGTTTATTTCAGTAGAGCCAGTTTCACTTTAAGAAATCTTTTTATTTGGTAGAACTCTAGATGCAACCCCCCCATTAACAAATCTGCCATCAGTGTGACAACTGTGATTGTTGTCACGAGCCTGGACTATTAGAGGAGACAGACTCTGATCTTTTAATCTATTCACGACAGCTTTATGGGGCCTGAATCACACATATGCAGCAAGTAGAGATCTACAGCAACAAAGACACATATGTATGTATAGAGTACCAATAGATATATGTTGCAAAAGGAGACAGACACACGCAGGCCCTGCTTGCTTCTCTAATGAAGAGGTCCAGTAGAGTCCAGGTTCCACATCCATCGGCAGGGCCGGACTGAATTTTTTTTCTTCTCTTTTTTTTTTTTTTTTAAAAAAATCACAGTTGCCCACTGAGAAGGGACGGGATCAGATAGAGTTTTGTCATCAATGACAAGCATGCTTCCTTTCAAAGTGAGCATGTTGGTTCAATGCTCTTCCAGGGCAGAACATGTGCAGAGCTCTGCTGAAGAGCTCTAGCATGAGAAAAGGGCCCTGTATTTGTTCTTGACAGTGCAAGCAAATATAATAACATGCTGACGCTGTGTTTTTTTGCAACTTGTCTCTGGTGTGTCTATAAATGGGATACCAGGAAACAAAAAGGCAGGGAAAGAGTATTGTGCATGTGGTATTGCGAGCTGATTGTGGTGTGGTATTGTGCATGTGTTTGGAGCCTGCTTGTGGTGTGGTATTGTGTAATAAGGTCGGTTTTAGTCGTGTAATGTAATGCGTGTGAGGGGTGCTGTGTGTGTGTGTGTGTGTGTATATATATATATATATATATATATATATATATACACACACGCATATATATATACACATACATACATATGTATATACACACACACGCGCGCTTGGAAGTGTTGGGGGTTCTGTGTGGGGTGCTGAGTGTTGGAGGTTCTGAGTGTGTGGCATTGTATTGTGGCACCTTTAGGCTGGGGGGGGGTGGGTACAGTGCTGCTGCCATCCCTGGTGGTGCTAGTGGTGAGTTGCCCTGTGGTGCTTGAGTTCACTCATGAGATCGGGGTGTTGCCATGGGGCTGGGGAGGGAGAGCTCAATCTTGCAGTTCCGCCGGGTCCTCCTCTCCCTCCCCAGCCTCATGTCTGCGCAAGTAAGCCGGTGAGGGAGAGCTTTGATCTCCCCCATCTGCCCATCATGGAATGCAGCAGGGCTGGCGCTCTGATGGCGCAGGCCCAGCAGGCCTCAGCCCATGACGGCCCACTGGGCATTTGCCCAGTGTGCCTGATGGCCAGTCCAGGCCTGTCCATCAGCATCCTATCATGAGAATTCGGGCAGGTTGCCATGGCAATGCAGAGAAGAGGAGAGGATCTGCTGCCCGACTGCTTTAGGTTGAAGATTGAGACTCTTGGGCCCCCTCTTCAATTTACAATCTGCTATGCAAGGAAATACACACACTATACACTCAGGCGCCCAGGCCTTGAGCGGTGTAAAGGGCCCCAAAATATCTGATGGCACTATTGCCCATTAAAGCACCTTCTCAAATTAGTCAGTTCTATTTAAACTTCTGCACTGTTAGAAGGGAGATGGTTTCAACACCCATTCGTGTAACATAGCCAGTTAACATTGCTTACAATACTTTAACTAGCCAATATCTGTTGTATAGAATATACATGTTTCACTCCGCCTTACCTTGATTTTCCAGTAATAAGAATCTTCGAGGGATCCATCACACGGCATGCCAACCCAGCTGTGTGAATGCTTCGTAAAGCAGAACTCAACTGGACAATATAAGCCCAAATGAGAGATTCGGGAAGCAGCCCAGCATGTTGACGAGGCACTGGACCATCATGCTGGCCTGGAGAAAATACATTGTATTATAAATTACAGAACTTTTTGTAGACTGGGAAATATACAAAAAAAAATAAAAAAAAATACAATTCAGTGCACATAAAATTCAGTTTTCCAAAGCATGCATATTTTGTTAAATGTAATCTATATACTTGCCAGCACAATGTACAGATGGAACACAATTCAGAATAAAGTGTTAATATATAATTTGTACCAAAAAAAATAAAAACCCAGCAAGTGAGAAAACTTTAATGATCTTACAGCTTTAATACTAGGTATAGCTACTGGCACTGTACCACAAAACTTATTTTAGTGTATTTAACATATCAAATATAGGACTTCTCAGCTGGTAAAAGATTTACAGTAATTGCAGGAAGTAATAAAGGTTTAGTGCATTTATACATTTAAAACCAAAGCCACTGATTCAATATGAACTAAATTATAAATGTACTTGTAGCACAAAAATTTCACATTTTAGAAATCTGATTGTATTTGCCTATTTTAATTGCCAGAAGATTTAAAATAGACTATACGGAGCAGATACACTGCAAGTTCACAAAAAGAAAGCCAAAAGAGTTAACACTTACCCCACTTACGCTTTGTGAAATAGCCATCAGCACTTGGGTCATTATAATGTCTGCTCATCAATGTTTCACTTGCAGCATGAAAGTCATAGGCAAACACAAGTGCTTTAAAACAGAGGAAAGTAATATTAATCTTTGAAAATGTTTTCTAAACTTTGTAACAAATAGAGGTGATTAGTTGAATGAGTGAACTGACTTTAGTTGTGGCACCTAATGACTGCTCACTCCAATACTTAAGTTAATTTCCATATTTCCCAGACTGCATTAGCCTTCCAATTGTGAGCCTAGGAAAAGATTGGTTACGAGCATTGACAGCAGATTAGCCCAGTGCTCCCAGGCTATCAACTCTTAAAGTTGAAGGGGTTAATGTAAGAGTACATGTCTTCATTAGCCAAGCTGCAACAAAAGTACAGATTTAGCATAGCTTTAGGCCCTTTTTCAAGTCGTTTGAAAACTATAGAACATTTGTTCATGCCTATACTCTGCTCAACAACCACAACAAGTTGTACTTAAGGTAATTCAACTGCCTCTGTAAATCAACATGTTTTGTGAGACCGTACATATGCCTGCTTTAAACTATTTGCAGGATTTACATGACAACCAAGTATGAAGGGGAGGGGTATCTAACAGCATTCAAAATGGTACACTGCTGAATATACTGCAGATTCCAGTATTAACCTTTACCATACATTTTGCCTGATAGCACAATCATCATGTACTGGCACAAATAATGAAGCTTGCTTTTACTACAGACTGAATTCATATGGGCCACCTATGCCCTCTCAGTAAAACTATTACTTTTGGGTGTTGCTACAGACAAAGTTTAGTCCCTGGCATGTCCCTCTATTACCGTTCACTTCTGTCCTGCTTTTATCTCCCCAAAATGGTAGGTTATAGTTTTCTATAAGTATAGAGTAACTTTCATATTATCGACTAAACAAATTCATGTAATGATTTAGTTACTTTACTAGGATTTACCAGTGCTATAAGACACTGTGTACTGCAGATCTGTTAACTTACAATGTTCTCCAAACGCTTTGGTTGTAAACACTTCTCGTAATGATACAATGTTTGAATGCTGAACTTTCTTCCATGTGTCAACTAAAGACATACACTTTGTGTTCACAAGGCGAAAGCCTGAAATGCAAGATTTAAAGTGGATTAAAAAAAAAAAACCTATGGTCATAAGTGAAATCTGAATAATCCACTAAAGCAGTTGTAAAATGTAGAGATAAATGGCTTAAGTGGTTTGTGTGGTAAGAGTGTCCTTTATTAGTTTTACAAAAAGTGCAGATTACAATAATTAGCACATTTATAAATTAACCTTGTTACATGCCCCTGGCTGTCAGTCAAGTTACTTCCTGGAAGTGTAGATCAATGGAATCAAACTCAATACTTTGCTAACCGCCCAAAGCACCTGCCTTGCAAAGACTTCTTAATGAACTGCATTAGGAAGTCTGACTGGACAGCCAAGAGATATGCAACTTTTACAGGCTTTTTTTTTTTTTTTAAGATATAGCCCCCAATAAAACAATAAATGAATACATGTTTGTTTGGGTATATCTATCAATTTTTTATTTGTTTGGGCAATAGAGTGTCCTTTTAAAGGAGCATCCCAAGCACCATGAACACTATAGCATTGCTTAGTACCCTGGCACCCTCCAAGTAGTCACTTTCCATTTTAAAGCAGTTTGACTTTCCCTGGGGTCCACTCTTTGCAGCCAGAAGCTCATAGATCAGAAGCCCATTGGTGCTACAGCCACAAGAGTGTTTAGAATACAATTATAATAAAATTAAAATAAATTAAATCAATACAAAAGATAACTAAGATACAATACAAAAACATTTAGATTTAATAAGAGCCATGCATCTTAGATTACACTGTATTTAGAATTGGTTATAATAATTGCCATTTATTTTAAAAAAGCAGCATTTCACTGGGTGCAACTGGAAAATATTTACTCTTGAATGCCAGTGCAAGGCAGGTCACCTATCAAACAAACCCCTAAATGAATCCATTTAGTTGTGTTCCTCAGCATTGAGCAGTTTATACTAACCATGTACCCTTCGCAGACAGTATGTGAGATCATCTTTGCTATTTACAGCTTTGTAGCATGATGTAGTGAATCCAAAGTTGCTAGACTTGTGTATCCGATTTGGAGGTGGCAGTGGTTCAAGAGGAAAGAGGCTGTGGTAACTGTCAACTTCTGGAGGTACTCCTGTACAATGTCCAGTCGATGCCAGACACATTGGCAGGTTCGAGGGAAAATAGAAAAGGGAGGGAAAATAGAAAAGGGAGGGAAAAGAAAATGTTGAACTTGTTATTTTTATCTCTTTATACAGGTTTTCATTTAAAGGGACACAATAGGCACTTAAACAACTTTAGCTTAGTTGAGTGATTTTGGTATATAGATCAAGTCCCTGCAGTCTCAGTGCCCAATTCTCTCATTTAAAAGTTAACACTTATGCAGCCCTAGGCACACATGTGACTTACACAGCTTTCCCAAATACTTCCTTTAAAGAGTGAAATTATTACACATTCATTATTGCACATTGTTTAATTTGGAAAATATTCTCCTGCTTTTTTAATAGCTTTCTACACCCTGTAGGAGTTCAATTTACAGAGCAGAAGATAAAAACTTATAAAGAAAGTTAACATCTGATGGATAACGAAACAATTTGTCATGCAGGCATTGTTAGTCACAGCCAGGGGAAGGGGTACCTAGAGCTGCATAAACCAAAATAGTGATTTAACTAAATGAAAAAATAATTCAGCAATGACACTGCAGGGGCATAACACATACAACCAAACTGCTTAATTAAGCGAAAGTTGTTTTGATGCCTTTAGTGTCCCTTCAAGTTCACATTAAATTTTGCTTGCGGGCATAGGGGTGTGAATGCACCATATATTAGATGCCTGAAAGCATATGTACTCATGGACTATTATGGAAGATGCCCAATGAGGAGACACTTCATAAACCAATGTGCAAAAAATGCAGCATCTTGGATTTTATACCTGCCCCTCTTGCATTTTTCTTGCCACATAAGGCATCTGTACACTTTCACAGAAAACTGATCAGACCTGCTCAGGTGGCTCAGTTGATTGGAAAAAAATAAAAATTAATAGTCTCCTCAAAAAGATAATGGAAGACCATGATCAGCAGTTTCCTAAGAGGAAATCACTGACTATGCAACATAACAGGAGAATGTTCTATAAAGGCGCTTTCACAAGATTATCAACGTACATAAATTCTCTGAATACATTAATAAAACTAGTGTTTTGCCTTATAGAGTAGACTAGCACTAAATTTTCTAACAATGCATTTTGCAGAAGTGTCTGAACGCATTTGAAATTTATTAAAAACTCACCTGGCATTTCAGCTTGCTCCATCTGAGCCATTGTTAATAAATGGCGATTTATTAACTCCTATGTAAATAAAATAATGAGAGTTGGAGGAATTTATGTTAATCTAGTGAAAACAAGTTTCAGATCTAAGTCAGTAATAAAGTACTCTTCACAAATTGTTTTAGGTTTAGTAAAGACAAAAAAAATCTTAGCTGGTGTACATAACCTTTCCAGACCAAACCACCCCCCCCCCCGTCCAAAAAAAACAGCCACATTATGTGAATCAGGCAGCCAAACAATTGATTATTTGGCTTAACAGATTCTGACAGGAATTTTAACCAATATTTACACATTATACACATGCAGTCATAAGCCTTCTGCTACATGTTCAATTTGATCAGACGTATGTTCATTTTCAGAATAAACAACAAAAAACCCCCCTGAAGTTTCAGAACCATCTTATTGAAGGTAATTTATCCATATGTTTAATTAATGTAAAGTCCAGATGTCAGCAGCAAATCATAAAATAAAACTCCAATGCTTAAAAAAACAAAAACAAAACACAAACCACACTATGGAAGTGGAAGGAAAAAACAAAAACTGCTTAATTACACAGTGGTGTAAGTTTAAAAGAGGGTAGTGAGCACTATATATTAAGAAAATAAAAGGCTGATAATTATGTACATACCTGTCGAAGCTCATCGGCCATAAAGAAGGAAGGTGCATTTGCTTTTGGCTGCATGTAAGCAACGTGAGGAGCAGTTTGAGGATAAACATGATAGTTTGGAAAAACCTTTGTGAAAATAAAAATATAACCATTCACAATTTTGTTTTATAATAAATCTTTAAGCATAGATGTGATTTAAAGTAACATGCATTTTAAGTTGTAAACAATCAAATTTATAAACAGGTCAGGTAGCACCAAATGTTTAAGAGCACTGACTGAACATACCATTCCTGATAAAGGTGCTGGAGTGGTGTCTGTATAGAAATAAGTTGTCCCTCCGACTGTCTCCTTCTGTATGACCTGTCCTGCAGATGGGGGCTGGGAAACAGAATTTGTGACTGGTGTTGAGGCACTAGTAGGCACCATATAGGTTGCTGGGTTTGGTGTATGGCTCCGCCGTCGTGGAGCAGGTGATGTGTGGGGTGTAATTTTGGGGGAATGAAGTGGAGAAGACCCAGCTGATAGGGACATCCCTAAAATAAAAAGAAACCAAAATATAAAAAGTAGTTCTATCTGCAGGTATAAAAGTTAGGCCAAAAATAGGCAATAACAGCACCAAAACCAATACGCGTAGCAAAAAAAAGTTGTGCATCTGAAATTAAATACTGCTGGCAATGAAAGTTTGTTGGGAGATCTTCTCTAGTTACCAATATGTCATAAAAAGGGGCACTAACTGCTATCAACTACAGAGACCCTGTAGTAATTCTAGTTCTAAGACTCCCCTGACTCCAATTCTTTGATGGACACATCCCAAGTGTTAAACAGAATTGCTATAAGGGGATAAAACAACTGTATACGACTTTCCAACAGTGATTTATGAAAAAAAAATAACAACCCCTTTCACCAGAATAAGATACAGCTAATGGGCGTTTCTTCCTGCGAAAAAAATAAAAATCTGCAGGACCAATAATGTGCATCTACAGTAAAATTTAAAGGAACACTATATTGTTGGGAATATAACCTGTAGGGCCCCTGTCCCTAGTTCTATAGAAATCTCCCCATTGTGTGCGATAGAGTGCACAGAGCACCACATGTGCATTCCAGTTTCTGATCTGTTAGTGCATCTAGTGGCAGTCAGGAAGACAGCCACCACAGGTGGCTTTAACCCTACAATGTATGTTTTTCAAAAGCTGCAATGTTTTACAGGGTCACTGCAGCCAGACCACTTCATTGAGTTTTAAAGGAAAGCATATTTATGGTCATTCATTGATTCTGCTTCTAATGCATTAGCTATATAATCCAACGGCTCGCACATCAACTTAGCTGTGCATCAAAAAACTCAAGGTGTATTTTGAAAAAACAAAACTTTCACTTCTTAAATTGTCATCATTTTACAAGTGTCAAGGTAAATACAGAAAAGGAGAAGTGATGTACCAAAGTACACCAACATACATAACAAAAACAAGATGTTCTGAAGTGCAGAAAGTTATTTAGAGAATTGAAAGTACTACTATGAATATTGTACATAATTTTACATAAATGCAAGTGATTGTACTGAACTATTCCAAGTACAAAATACAACCTTGGAGCAAGATTTATTTTGTAGAAGTGGTGAAACCACTATGGAAACCAAAATAGTTCAGTTGTTGTGTGCTCTGTACTTGCACATAAATTGCTCTTTACACCCAAACTTTACATTTTCAAGAAAATTTGTTTCTAAACAAGTAATTGCAGGGTTGTTTCAGGTTCAAGGTTGTAATTTCAAAGAAGGAGAGGCAGAATTGTAAGGAGACCATAGGAAGACCTTTATTTGAGTATACAAGATGCCATTGCCAATTCAATCTGTTCTTCAGTCTCATATATAGTGCCTTAATTACTTATACACCTACATCTTCTAGATCATTATTAAGCACATTACACTCAAGTTTTGCATTGTTTCACAAAAACAATGGATAAAGACATTTACATTCATGTGAAAGCTCAGGCAGTCCTTATAAATGCATATTTCACAACAAGTGCGTACAGACCACAGTTTACGTTTGGGAAACTAACTTTAAAATTAAAGAATATAACAAGTCCTTTCTTGCAGAGCTTCAAGATTTCATTAGTTGGTCTATCCAGCTTGACACACAAAGTGAGAATAAAACAAGTATGTCCCTAGCTTTTGGGCCCAGGTACAAAAACACATTGCAGACCAGCAATTTACAATTGAAGTGACAACGTTTTTTTTTATGTTTTTGCTTTAATAGAAGTAATTTATTTGCTACGGAATTTGAAGAAAAGTCATGCAAACTATCACCTGCTCACAGGGCAAAATAAATCTTTCATGCACCTGCAAAACCACTAGGTGGAGCACTAGTGAAAATTACATATTAATTTCCTGTGTAATAGATTGTCTGAATGCGGTAGCCATGAGCAACGATTGTATCCCATCAGTAAAAAATAAATAAAATAAAATAAAAAAAAACGAAAAAAAAAAAACACCCCTACGAGAAAAAAAAACCCCACAAAAATGCTACAACAATTTTCATAATTTTTCCCAGATGGTACTCTGCAAAGCATGGACTCCTATGAACTTTTCAATTAAAATCCATCTCTTTAGGAAAGCTTATGGCCTCCCAGAGTAACCACTACCTCACATACCTGTCTCTTGCTCTCTTCTAAATGGCGGCACTCTACTCTCTCCTCCAGCTCTGCTTCACTCCCACCCTTTTTGATTGCTATTTCCTGCCCTAATGTGTTTTATACCCCACACCCTACAGACTGTAAGCTCATTTGAGCAGGGTCTTCTTCAACCGATCATTCCTGTAAGTTTTATTGTAATTGTCCTATTTATAGTTAAATCCCCCATCTCATAATATTGTAAAGAGTATTCGTATTATACTAATAATAATAATTACACTACTGCCAGCCTATTAGAGGATTTAAACTAACCTGAATCATTAGCAGGATATTAGAATTAGGCAGCTTAGACCAGTTTGCATCTAATGGACAGAAGTCTTTACCGTGGACAATAATTGACAAATATGACCAACCCAGGTTATATCAAGACATAAAGGTTACCTGGTGCAAGACCAGCTGCAGCAGGACCTCCCAGAGATGGGTGGGAGAACAAAGCTTGAGAGAAGGCAGACATGCTGGATTGAGACATATTACTCAACCGTGAAGTTGATCCTCCTTTTGGAATAAACTCACTGGCAGTAGGGTTAGGAGCCTAAAAATAGAAAAAAAATAAAGTTAGTAAATTCTCTAAAGATTTAACAAGGATATATTAAAAAAACAAAACAAAACAAAAAATAACAAAACACCACCTAAAGGGGTAAGATGACAATCTGAATGGTAGGGCTCAAATATAGAACATGGGGAGGATAAAAACCCCACACAATTTAGACTTACTATGGAAACAAAGTATAGGACAACTTCTATCCAGTCATGTGTGATATAGGTGCAGAGCAGCCTAAAGTTGTGTGTTAAATGATGCACTATAAAACTCTGCTGTTGCAATTAAGCTTTTTAATTTTTTTTTTTTTTTTTTAAAGTGTTTATATTTATCTTATTCTTCACACTATGACACCAGATTTTAATTGAGACTATATGTGAATACACATCTTGAATTTGGGTATCAGTTGAACCTGTTTTTTTTTTGGGGGGGGGTTTAAGTGCCTGTATAGTCCAGAAAATTTACAGAACAATCATAGAAATCAAATAGCACAATGAAAAACTGATACTTTTGGGAAACCAAGTATCAGATGAAAAATAGGGTACATTGTTGACAAATATAAACGTACAATTAAATTATTGTTCATTGCTTGCATACTGACTTTCATGTTCTGTTTTACTCAATATCAAAACTTTTGTATGTGTTGCATTTTATACATATGACTAACTTTTGCTAGGACTTCATTTTTCAATGTTTTTAAACCCTTATAAAGCACACCACAAATAGGATATAAATTATCTATACCGGTCTCCTATACTCCATCTGCCCTCTATCAATATCCAGACCAACCAACAATAAATCAGGTGGAAGTCATGAGCAAAATACTTGAAAACGTGAAAAAGACAAAACTATTTAAGTGACGGAGCTTGATCTGCAAACTGAACAGACGCATGTTGAGAGGGCTCCCAATTATTCAGCTGATTCCCCAGGAATACTAGACAATACCAAGCAGATATCTATGCCAAATCGTGCTACCCATGTTGGCTTATTGACACCTTTGCAGGCCTAAGGACCTCTTGTCGTTCAGCTAACTCACAAGTGTCCAAAGTGGCCATCACAAAAGAATTTGAAAACAGACAAAAAACTCACAACCTCTTCACTACGTTTAAAAGCTTATAGTATACATACCTTACGCCTTTGAGATATGGTGAGCCCGGAAAAGTCATTAAAAAGTGTAGAAGCTGGAGAACCTAAAGGATCTGTAAAATATAAACAAAGTCTGCGTTTGCAACTGCCATATTAACTAGTTTCCATTTAGGAGTAAACCATTAATTAAGGAATCCGTTCACTATACAGTGGAATAAAAAAAGAAAAAAAGAAAAAAGAAAAATAATATTGGCACTCTATGCATCAACTGTAGTGGGTCTGGTGCCAAGAGTTCTATAGCACCATCGAATAGTAAAAAGAGTCAAACCCAACACATTTGCAAGCACAAAAAAACTAAAATGAATAGAATGGGCATACAAGCAGACCATTTTGTCCAAACTACAGAAAGATTCCAGCAGTTTCCAAATAAAATTCACATAAAATAATTTTTATAATTCTGCGATAGTGGAAAACCATGTTAAGATTATAATTTAAAGTCAAGTTACTTTTTTTTGGCCACAAGTCTAAAAACATCATGATTATAGAGAAGGTGGATAACCAGGGCAGGTGCATTAGGCGAATAAGGCATTTGCCTGGGTCACCCACCGGAAAGTTTCCTGGTGGTTTGCTCGTGTCTGGGGCTGAAACTCTGGGTGAGAGACTCTTTAGCCACCCCCCCAGCGCAGCTGCTTCATCTGCATCAATGGCGCCAACGAGCAGAATGCTTCCTGCAGGCAGGGGAAGCCGTGATACGACCTGGTATCCCGGCTGCCCCCTGCCTGTGAAGACCGGAAACACATTGCAGGGAGCAGGATGCAGCCTCTGCTCACAGTGCATGGCTCTCCTGCTTCGCCCAGCACAAACAAGGCTGGTCCTCTTCTCCTGTAACAGCACTCCATTAGGGCCATATGAAGGCTAAAGGGGACTGGTTATTTAATATACGTTTGTACATTGGTATGTGTTTGTGTTTTATTGTACTATTGTGTTTTATTTGTATGTTTAAAAAAAAACTAAAGCTATAACTATGTAATCTAGTATGAGTGTGTCTGTCAGTGAGTGTGCAAGTGACATCATGTCTATGTCAGTGAGAATGTGCAAGTGACATGTGTACGTGTGTATGTGACACTCGTGAGAGCGTAAGTGACGTGTGTACATGTGTCAGTGAGAGTTTGTAAGTGACTGTCAGTGAGTGCGAGAAATTTGTGTATGTCAGTGAGAGTTTGCATGTGCTAGTGAGTATGTGGCCAATTATATTTATTAATATAATTATATATTATAATGAAAACATTTTACTTACAGTGAACCTGTCAGACAAGTTAACTGTAACAAATTAAACCCCATCATTATGAATTAAATCCCACCAAATGAATTTAATACATTATATAGCACAGCGATAAATTATGTATTCAGTGTCTTTTTCCAACTACACCTCTTCTCCTAGTCATCCCTCAAGGTTCAGTTCTTGGTCCCCTTTTGTTCTCCCTTTATACCGCCTCTCTTAGCAAACTCATTAATTCATATGGATTCCACTACCACTTGTACGCTGACGACACCCAGATATACAACATCTCCCCCGACCTTTTCCCTGCTATCCTACGTGTCTCCAATTGCCTCTGATTGGATGTCCTCCCGCTTTCTGAAACTCAATCTCTCTAAAACAAAGTTTCTTATTTTTCCTCATCAGAACACTGATCCTCCTCCTTCACTTTGCCTGCAGGTTGACGGTACCTGCCTCACCCCATCCTTTCAAGCTCGCCGTCTTGGTGTCATTTTTGACCCTGGCCTCACATCCAGTCTGTTGCTAAAACTAGGGATCGACCGATTATCGGTTTTACCGATATAATCGGCCGATATTCGGTATTCTCGGCAATATCGGTATCGGCCAATTCAGATACCGATATTGCCGATAATACCTCCTAGGACCGCCGGGCTCATTACAAACCCGGCGGTCCTGGGGGGGCGGAGAGCAAGCGCTTACTCACCTCCCAGCAGCTCCTCCAGCTCCCCAATGCAACTCTCGCGAGACCCGCGGCCTTCCGAGCGTTGCCATGGATCACCATGGCAACGCTCCGCGCGACACGCTGGCCGCGAGAGTTGCATTGGGGAGCTGGAGGAGCTGCTGGGAGGTGAGTAAGCGCTTGCTCTCCGCCCCCCCAGCTCAGCCAATACCACCAGGGACTGTCATATCCCCCCTCCCTGGCCAGGTAACAAGCAGGGAGGGGGGACAACAAAAATAAATAAGAATTAATTATACATTTTTAAAAAAAATTATTTAATAAAAAATGCCCCCTCACACACTGCATTATATACACATACATTACACAAACACAGTGTGTATATAATACAGTGTGTGTTTGTATAGTGTGTGTGTGTGTTTGTATACAATGCACACAAATACACTGCATTATATACACACACTATACAAACACACTGTGTATATAATGCAGTGTTTGTGTAGTGTGTTTATATAATGCAGTGTGTGTTTGTAGTATAATGCAGTGTGTGTTTGTATAGTGTGTGTATATAATGCAGTGTGTGTTTGTATAGTGTGTGTGTATATAATGCAGTGTGTGTGTTTGTATAGTGTGTGTGTATAATGCAGTTTGTGTAGTGTGTTTATATAATGCAGTGTGTGTTTGTATAGTGTGTGTATATAATTCAGTGTGTTTGTATAGTGTGTGTGTATATAATGCAGTGTGTGTGTTTTGTATAGTGTGTGTATAATGCAGTGTGTGTTTGTGTAGTGTGTGTGTATAATGCAGTGTGTGTTTGTATAGTGTGTGTATATAATTCAGTGTGTTTGTATAGTGTGTGTGTATATAATGCAGTGTGTGTGTTTGTATAGTGTGTATAATGCAGTGTGTGTTTGTGTAGTGTGTGTGTATAATGCAGTGTGTGTTTGTATAGTGTGTGTATATAATGCAGTGTGTGTGTGTTTGTATAGTGTGTGTGTATAATGCAGTGTGTGTTTGTGTAGTGTGTTTATATAATGCAGTGTGTGTTTGTGTAGTGTGTGTATATAATTCAGTGTGTTTGTATAGTGTGTGTGTATATAATGCAGTGTGTGTGTTTGTATAGTGTGTGTGTATAATGCAGTCTGTGTTTGTGTAGTGTGTGTATATAATTCAGTGTGTTTGTATAGTGTGTGTGTGTATATAATGCAGTGTGTGTGTTTGTATAGTGTGTGTATAATGCAGTGTGTGTTTATATAATGCAGTGTGTGTTTGTGTAGTGTGTGTATATAATTCAGTGTGTTTGTGTAGTGTGTGTATATAATTCAGTGTGTTTGTGTAGTGTGTGTATATAATTCAGTGTGTTTGTATAGTGTGTGTGTATATAATGCAGTGTGTGTGTTTGTATAGTGTGTGTTTATATAATGCAGTGTGTGTTTGTGTAGTGTGTTTATATAATGCAGTGTGTGTTTGTGTAGTGTGTTTATATAATGCAGTGTGTGTTTGTGTAGTGTGTTTATATAATGCAGTGTGTGTTTGTGTAGTGTTATATAATGCAGTGTTTGTGTAGTGTGTTTATATAATGCAGTGTGTGTTTGTGTAGTGTTTATATAATGTTTTGTGTAGTATGGTGTAATGTGTAGTGTGTTTATATAATGCAGTGTGTGTTTGTGTAGTGTGTTTGTGCAGTGTGTGTTTGTGTAGTGTGTTATATAATGCAGTGTGTGTGTTTGTGTAGTGTTTATATAATGCAGTGTTTGTGTAGTGTGTTTATATAATGCACACTACACAAACACACTGCATTATATACACACACTCTGCATTATATAAACACACTACACAAATAAACACACACTCTGCATTCATTATATACACACACACTTTGAATTTAGTATATACAGCATTCACTTTACGCACACTACCCACACACTCTGCTTTCATTATATACACACTACACTAATACACACTGCATCCCCTACACAAACACACATTGCATCCTCCACACACTGCATCCACAACACACACACTACACAAACACACACTGCATCCACTACACACACTACACAAACACACACAGCTCCCCTGTCACACTGCATCCACTGCACGTTGCATGTATATTTTGTGCATTTACCTTTAGAAATAGTTTTTATTTTCCAAAATGGTAAATGTACAGAATATCGGCAAATTATATCGGCTATCGGCCTGAAAGTTCACAGAATATCGGTATCGGTATCGGCTCTAAAAAATCAATATCGGTCGATCCCTAGCTAAAACCTGTCGATTCCAGCTTAAAAACATTGCCTGCATATGCCGCTTTCTTATGCAAGATGTTGCCAAGGAGCTTGTTCATGCTCTAGTAATCTCTTGCATGGATTACTGTAATTCCCTCCTAAATGGTCTCCCCAGAAGCCGTACTGCCCCCTTACAATCGGATGAATGCTGCTGCCAGGCTGATCTTTCTCTCCTCTCACACCAGCTTCCAGTACCCTACAGGTGTCAATTTAAAATATTAACCCATACTTAAAAAGCCCTAACCAACTATAACCCCTCTTACATTTCTTCACTGATTCATAGGTATGCCCCCTCTCGGTCTCTTCACTCTACTGGTGACCTTCTCCTGTCTGCTGCTCGCACCCTTACACCTGCAAGACTTCTCACGGGCTGCTCCATTCCTTTGGGACAGCTACCCCTTTAAAAAGTACCTCAAAACCCATCTTTTCAGGATTGGTTATGGCCTCCAAGCGTAACTTCCACCTCTCAAATCTTCCTCTTGTGGTTTCCTAAAAGGGCCAAACTCCACTCTCGCCTGCTACTTCCCCCCCCCATGTCTATTTGCGGGCTCCCTCAAAACCCTTCTTATTGTGTTTTTATACCCCCACATCCTCTAGATTGTAAGATTGTTTCAGCAGGGTCCTCAACTACCTATTGTTCCTGTTACATTTTGTTATTGTCTCAATTGGTAAATTCCCCTCTTATAGTATAGCGCTGCGGAATAAGCTGGTGCTAAATAAGAACATAATGTAAAACGTATGCATCAGCAGTGCGCGCGGATGGATGCATGCACGCGTCGGCGGCGCGCGCGGATGGATGCATGCACGCGTCGGCGGCGCGCGCGGATGGATGCATGCACGCGTCGGCGGCGCGCGCGGATGGATGCATGCACGCGTCGGCGGCGCGCGCGGATGGATGCATGCACGCGTCGGCGGCGCGCGCGGATGGATGCATGCACGCGCCGGCGGCGCGCGCGGATGGATGCATGCACGCGCCGGCGGCGCGCGCGGATGGATGCATGCACGCGCCGCCGGCGCTCGCGGATGGATGCATGCGGCGTGCGCGCAGATGGGTGCATGCGTCGGCGTGCGCGCGGATGGGTGCATGCATGCATGGGCGGTGCGCGTGGATGGTGCATGCATGCATGGGCGGTGCGCGTGGATGGGTGCATGCATGGGCGGTGCGCGTGGATGGGTGCATGCATGGGCGGTGCGCGTGGATGGATCTGCAATTGTGTGTGTGTGTGTGTGTGTGTGTGTGTGTATGGATGGATGTATCGGCTGTGTGTGCGCGTGTGTATGTGTGTATGGATGGATGGATGGATGGCTATACCTTGTATGCGCGTGTGTATGGATGGGTGGATGGCTGTATATTGCGTGCGCATGTGTGTATGGATGGATGGATGGATGGATGCATTGTGTGTGCGCGCGCATGTATGTATAGATGCATGCAGTGAATGTGTGTGTATTGGACAGTCTTTCTTTCCCTAAATGTCTGCTCACCGTCTTGTCTCTCGTAAAATGTCTACCAGTCCGTCTGTTTCCTAAATACCTCAATCTCTATCTTTTCCCCAATTGCCTTCCTGGTCTGTTCCCTTTCTTTATCTTTCTCACCGGTGTCTCTGATTTCCCTAAATGTGTCTCTGGTCCCTCAACATCTCTTCGGTCTGTATTTTTTTCCCTAAATGTCCTGGCCTGTCTCTCTTAAAGATGGAAACTAGACACTTATGAGTCTATTCACTAAACAGTGATTTGAAAATGTTTTGAAAAGGAGTCGAGATGATGACTTTATAGAACTCTTCTGTTTCCGCCTAAATGTTATATTTCAGCTCACAGTTTGATGAATAGACAGGGAAAAGAAAAGGGCAAAAGTCAATGACCGGATTATTCACTAAAGTGAGAATTGTTGGATTCAAAATTTATTAAAAGTTAATTTCACATGTAAAGTTCTCACTGAAGTGAATAACCCTATAAGAATAAAAAGAAACAGGCTGGTGAGAATCATGAGCAAAGACTGCCCAGATGGGGCTTTGGGAAACATGAGAAAGATGGAGATAAAAGCTGATGAGAGAGAATACACAGATTGTTAAGAGAGAAATGAGCACTGTGATCAGACCCAACTGGAAACCAAATGGCAAAATGTAGGCCAAAATAGCTGATCTAGAAGAATTCTCCAACTCAGCTACAGTCACAGCTCAGTTGTTTTTGCTTAAACTTTGCAATTTGGTTTTCAACTCACTGCAGTTCAGAGTTTAGTGAATAAACCTCTGAGATAATGTAATTGCATTCATGAGGGGGGGGCAAAATGGATCGTTTCCTAGGGCGGCAGGAATCCTTGCACCGTCCCTGTGGATAACTTAAAGATATACATTCCAATTGCAAAAATTACACAGCCCAAGTGATTTCAGGAATGTGTGAGTGAAAAGTTACTTTACTGATAGCATTATACATACCATGTGCTGCATAGACCTTGGCACTGTCATTCAGAAGGCTTGGCGAACTGCTGCTGTTTGTCATTCGCTAGAGTAAAGAACAAACTAATTTGTATTGAACATATCCTAATCTACACAAAAAAAATGGGTTTTAAAACGAAAAAAAGTTTTTTTGGCTTGCATGACAAAATGAAATCAGATCAGAATGCATAAGATAAATTTTTTGAATTCTAATCTGTATAATTGTTCATAGAGTAATGGAATGAACCTATGATTGTTACTTGCAACTATTTCATAAAGATATAAAATTAAGCATTCTAACAGACAAAGACAGCGTTAATGAATATTTCAAGCACCAAAACCCCTTATAGCATGCTGTAGTGGTTATGGTGACAAGCCACACTAAGTAGCCAAAGTTTTAGAACAGACTTCTAACCAGGGGGGTGTTTGGTACCTCTGCCCTCCTCCATTATATCTGAGACAGCTGGAAACTCCTGCACTGTCAGCCTATTGCTCTAGAGCTAGGCTCTGCACCATCAGGCTAAGTTCAGACACAGCTTCCAGTACTGTTTGATTTAGTGGAGGCACCCAGGGGACCCCAGGACCCACCAGGTGAAGAAGATAGGTCAATGGATTAAATCTTCTACTTAAAGCAGCACCGGCCAATTTCACCTCACAACTGGCCAGCCCAGTGTGTGTTCTAACAATCTAAAGAATACCGATCTGTCTATGCCGTCACTGAAATGTAATTCATTATCCTTGACAAAAACGACTAGTGATCCAGATATTACCTGCATCCTTGGGTAATTTGCTTCAACAGGGCTTCCAAATCCATTCATTCCCATAAAACTGGAGCTGAAGTAGGAATCATTGATACTGGTATCAGGCAGAGCACTATCTAATCCAGGAACTGAAAAACAGAAAACAACATTTAGAATCCAAAATGCTTAATACAATTAGAATGTGTCTTAAGTATCACTGCATAGCAGATTTTTTTTTTTTATGTAGTTGTATCAGTGTTCCATAAGGCCAAAAGATCAAAGATAACCACAAGCTAGAATGATTTTTTCACCACTGGCACCATGCTTATCAGTATCTAGAATTCACTTTTTGCTGTGTTAGCTCTTTTCTCCTCTACAATCTTCAGTTTGGTGTGCTGAGGGGGCTGGAGGGTGGGTACGGAGGTGGTTAGGGAAGGGAAGGGAGGAATTGCATGGTGTTCACCAACTTGGGAATGGTCAGGAATACAGTTAACAAGGGAATGTCCAACTAACAAAGTATACAACTGTCTAAAATGCGGTTTTTGTTCAAGTAAATAATACAATCAAGACAATTCAGATGTCTATTTAAAGGGTTGTTCTAGGCAACACAATCCATGCTGCTTGCTGCAGTGATTATGGTGCCATCACATGGCCAGTAGTCAAACCTTTTAAAGGGTTTGATACTTACAGATTTATCAATTTTATCATATTGTTTGAAACTCATTGGCAGAGTTTCAATTCATACGCTCATCCATTAACACTGGCTCAATATGCTACTATTGAAGCGTCAAGAACTTCTGTCTTGGCAGTATGAGAAAATGAGACTGGACTAGCGGCTGCTCAAAGACCCAGGTAAGTGTTAAATCATTCGAAATGTTTTCTAACTGTTGGCCAGTACCAGGGGACTCCTGGCACAATAACATCATTGATATAGTACCTAGAGTGTTCTTTATAAAGGAAAAATGTAGAGATAGTTACATAGATAATCCATTTAAAAACAAGCATTTAAATGCACACACACAAAAAAAAACACATCCCAAATTACTCATTTCAAATTAACCAGCTTTACATTTACTAAACTGACCTAGAAAAGTGAATCCAGTCTGGGTACTCCACTACCTTTCTACAGGATTTTCAAAGTTCTAAGTTTACCCCGCAAATCCAGTCACAGCAAGGATTTCCATGCATTTTAGTACAGTTATCAGCTTTTTTTGCTGAGCTTCCTGACAGTCTTACTAGAGAAATGCTGAAGAATGGGGGGACAATGGGGGCTGTTGTATCACATACAAACACAGTAGCCATCAAAAAACATTATTTTAGTGTGGAATAGGCGTTATAGACATAAGCAGAGTAAAGCTGGGGAGTATTTAAAAAAAAAAAAAAATCATCAAATGTATGAGTAATTATAGCTGTAAAGTTATATTAGGAAAATAAAGTAATTTCTTATACAGTATGATTGACTATGACCCTCACATTCCTCTGTGGCTTTTTAACACAATTACTTGTACGTTTACTGTATCTATTGTATAGTTCTGAGTAACAACTTGTTTAACCCCTTAAGGACGGAGCCAAATGTACACGTTGTGAACAAAACAAAATGTAAACAAAACCTGGCATTTGCGCTACATGTCTGTCCAACCGTAATTCACCTCTTTCATATTAAATACACCCACCCTTTTTATATATCATTTTACTCAGGGGAAACAGGGCTTTCATTTAATATCAAATATTTAGCTATGAAACATAATTTAATATGAAAAAATGGGCGAAAATTTGTTTGTTTTTTTTAGTTCTACATGACATTTTAACGGTCAATGTCATAATACTGTTTGCTTTTACTGCAATAAAATACACATTTGTATTCAGCAAAGTCTCACGTGTAAAACAGTACCCTCTATGTACAGGTTTTATGGCGTTTTGGGAAGTTACAGGGTCAAATATAGCACGTTACATTTGAAATTGAAATTCGCCAGATTGGTTACGTTGCCTTTGGGACTTTATAGTAGCCCAGGAAAGAAATTTACACCCATAATGGCATATCATTTGCAATAGTAGACAACCCAAGGTATTGCAAATGGGGTATGTCCAGTCTTTTAGTAGCCATTTGGTCACAAACACTGGCCAAAGTTAGCGTTAGTATTTGTTTGTGTGTGAAAAATGCAAAAACTGCCAATTTTGGCCAGTGTTTGTGACTAAGTGGCTACTATAAAAGACTGGACATACCACATTATCAATACCTTGGGTTGTCTACTATTGCAAATAGTATGCCATCATGGGGGTAATTTTCATTCTTGGGCTACCATAGGGTCTCAAAGGCAACGTAACCAATCTGGCGAATTTTAATGTGAAAAAAATGAAACAAGCCTTATATTTGACGCTGTAACTTTTGAAAACACCATAAAACCTGTACATGAGGGGTACTGTTGTACTCGGGAGACTTCGCTGAACACAAATATTTGTGTTTCAAAACAGTAAAAAGTATCGCAGCAATAATATCGTCCGTGTAAGTGCTGTTTGTGCGTGAAAAATGCAAAAAACATCACTTTTACTGGCGATATCATCGTTGTAATACACTTTACTGTTTTGAAACACTAATATTTGTGTTCAACGAAGTCTCCCGAGTAGAACAGTACCCCACACGTACAGGTTTTATGGTGTCTTGGAAAGTTATAGGGTTAAATATAGTGCTAGCAAATTAAATTCCCTTTACTCTCGGCATGGGTTGTCAGGCAGATCCCGCTAATTGTAATTAATTAAGATACCTAATTATGTAAAAATATTACATAAAAATATATATATATATAATTTTTTTTAAAATATATACGTATATATAGTGATATATACGTATATATAGTGATATATACGTATCTAGATATATATTTCGTTCTACGTGTATTTTAATATCTATTATGATCTGTAAGCCATAATCATCGCACTTTTGACAAATCACAACTTGAACTATCTTGCTTTGCATGTAATGCGTTGATCTCATATTAGTTTCCCCTTTTACGTTGCATTACTGAAATAAATTACATGATATTCTAATTTTTCGAGTATCACCTGTATACACATATTTTCAATGTTAAAGTGTTTCTTTAAAGTGATACTCCAAAGCTGGATTTAAATAAAAAAATAATTCTGGTTTAAATGGGCACTTTGGTCACCACAGCCACTTCATCTAAATCAAATTATGGTGCCAGGAGGTCCATGGGCACACTCTTACCTAAAGGGGTTAAACAGTTCTTGAACTGTTGAACCCCAAAGTGTGCCACCAACGCACGATCTTCATAAACCTCAGGTGGCACATGGCTTTTGAATCTCAGTTTCAAGAAGAGTTCTGAAACAGATTGGCTGAGAAAGGGTCAGCTGATGCTTTGAGCCAATCAGTGTCTCCCCATTCATAAAACTGGCTTGAAATTTTAAGGTAGCACAGCAGACCTCCGCGCTTCCTGAAACGGAGATTCAGAAGACATGCCAACTGGTGGACCTTAGGATTGGCTCTAAAGGATCGCTTTGGGGTTAAACTGGTCAAGCCACTTAAGGAAAGAGTGAGCCTAGGGGCCTCCTGGCACCATAACTTTATCTAAAGTTATGATGCCTAGCCTGTTTTGAAGTTCTCCCTTAAACCAATCCCCCTTGGCTGACATCAAGAGGGGGTAAAGTCAGGGGCAGTATGCAATTATTTTCTGTCACCAGCATGCTGTGTGTGCTGAAAGCAAGATTTTGTGCAGAATTGGCATTAGTTATCCTGAAACTTTGTTCAGGGCTGTTCATTGATGCTGCCAGAGGTATAGTTACACCTCCTGCAGCTAAGTTGTTTGTATGTGCAGGGTTTTAAAACAAAACCCTGCACATACAGACTACAGGCACCATAAACACTTCCAATACATTTGATGCTTGGAGTAGCCCTTTAAAAAGGACCACTATAGGCACCCAGACCACTTCAGCTTAATGAAGTGGTCTGAATGCCAGGTCCATCTAGGATTAACCCTTTCTGCTGTAAACACAGCAGTTTCAGAGAAACTGCTATGTTTACTTTAGGGTTAATCCAGCCTCTAGTGGCTGTCTTTTTTACAGCATCTAGAGGTGCTTCAGTGCTTCTCACTGATTTTCACAGTGAAGACGATGCCAGCGTCCATAGGAAAACATTGAGAATGATTTCCTATGAGATTGGCTGAATGCGCGTGGCTTATGCCGCGCATGCACATTCAGTCGATGACGGGAAAGGAGGAGGAGAGTCCCCAGCACAAAGGGAGCCCGGCGCTGGGAAAAAAGTAAGGGTTTAACCCCTTCCTCCCGCCAGAGCCCAGCGGGATGGGGCCCTGAGGGTGACGGGGACCCAAGGACCCTATAGAGCCAGGAAAACAAGTATGTTTTCCTGGCACTATGGTGGTCCTTTAAGCATCTACATTAAAAAGAGGCATGGGTAATTTCCTCATCACCTGCTTTCTCAGAGCTCTGTTCAAACATATACTTGCACAAATATCCTCAGAACACCTCACAGATTTGTTCAGAGAGTTTTTGCAAGCAATGCTCTAGGTATGTAGAATAACATATTTACAGCTCCTGATAGAGGCATATTTTTTCTTTACATAAGCACATAAATAAAAAGGAACACGTAAAAGATGAAAGTGCAGGGAGAGACACCCAAATACCATGACCACTATAATAACTGTTGGAGTTATAAGAAGAAAAGAATTTACCCACACAATTTGATATTTTATAGAAATAACAGGTCATTATCCAGGTCTAATTTACATACTTATTTTAATTTGTCACTTTGCAGTAAGCTCTTCTGCCCTGAAGAACTATGAGAAAAAAAAAAATCTTTAAAGGGACACTATAGGCACCCAGACCACGACAGCTCACTGAAGTGGTCTGGGTGTAGTGTACTTATTGCACTTAATGCTGCAATAACATTGCAGTTCCAAAGAAACTGCATTGTTTACATTGCAGCACTAAGTCTGCCTCCAGTGGCGCTTTCTGGCTGCTAACCGACTTGATTCGGTAACGGACACTGGATGCCAGTGTCAGATTTTTCTTCATAGGAAAGCATTGATTCAATACTTTCCTATGGGGAGTTCAAATGCACAAGCAGCATTTGCCACACACACGCATTAGTACCCGCTCACACAAACCAGCGCCTGGGCAAGGTAAGTAAATAGTTTTAAACCCTTTATTCACATTGGTTGGTGAAGGATGGGCCTGAGGAAAGGGTCAAGGCAGAGAGCGCTATAATGCCAGGAATACAGCTTTGTATTCCTGGCACTTATGGAATCCCTTTAATAGCTTACAACAAGGATGCCCAAAAAGAAGGTCCCAGATGTTGAACTACAACTCATGATGCTTTGCATGCCTTTAGAAAGACAGTATCATGGAAGTTGTAGTTTTAAAACATCTGGGATCTACATTTTGGACACATCTGGCTTACAATGTATGATAGCGCCCCCCTAACGTTGTGAAGCCAAATACCAGGGATTTAAATGCAATAGTTTTTTTCCTACTTTTATACCAGTTTCCATTACTATAATGTCCTGGCCCCAACCCCACTGGGGATGATTTGGAACACTGATTGCAAGCCAGACCTTTTCATACAATATCAGTATATGACCTCAAATGCTCTTTAGCAGAATGGGCACAAATATACAAAGATATGCCAAAAACCTTGTGGAAAGCCTTACCAGAAGAGTGGTGGCTGTTAAAGGCATAAGTGGAGGTAGAGGCAACATCATATTAAAGCCAGTTTTAGAAAGGAATATCCAGCAAGCTCATATAGCCTGATTGTCAAGATGGAGGGATGATCAAGATATATGGTCAAGTTCACAAACTTTTGAACTGTAGGAAACTAAATTAAAATTTTAGCCCTAAATCGCCAAATTTAACAAAAAAAAAAAAAATAGGCTCCGCTATGTTTCAATTCAGCGGTCTTTCTCTAACATTTTGAATTCAACAACTCACACTTTAGTAAATAACCCTGAGTATCAAAAAACTCAGAGTACTATAAACCTCATTAGATACACGTCTGAAACATTTACATACTGACATCTGAAATGTCTCGTGGGCTCAGACATATTTTGGACCTTTGTAGGACTGAGGTATACCTTCTAGTTAGCAGATCATCCTTACTTTTTATTTTCTACAATTCTTTAGCTTACAGAAGAACTAGGGAAATACCTGATGAACAGGCTTGAATTGATGGGGAAACACCCCACAAGCCAGACTGATATTGCCTCTTCCAGGCCTAAGGTGGATCTGCCTGCTCAGCATTTTTCCTATGCAGGTTCATATATTAAAGTTTAGGATCGTTAAAGACTTATTCCTTTCATTTACCTTGTTATAGTCATGGTTATGATGTTATTAGCCCTAAATTTAAAGTAGAATTGTCACAATGTGATTTATGCACAAGCTGCCTAAACTTTAGCTATGGGTTCTGCTTTTTCCCCCCCCATCTCACCATTTGTGCTTATATATTCTACCATGCAAACTATTAAAGTTAAATTAACTTGTGCATGTAAGTCTAGCACTATTGAAGGAACAACCAAACGTGCTTGAGTTCCTATTTTATTTCTCTTCATGAGCAGTAAAGAAGCCCTGAACGCAGAAGTACAGTGAAGATGTGTCATCGCCTCCTCTGCATTGTTTACTCCAGTAAACACTCCCAACACCTTTTACTAGGTTCATTGAACGAGGAACAATCACTTCCAGAGTGGAACAGTTCCACTTAAAAAAAAAAAAAAAAAAATCTGTCAATTTCAGTCAATGGAAAAAACTTAATCATACTCATGGTTATGCCATGTAGAAGGAAGAGCCTCAGATGGGATATGGAATATTAGACAGGGGGGTGAGTAAATTACAAGACTCAGGAAGTCCCAACATCTCACATTAGTTCACCTGTTACTGGTTGCACTGGACACATGCAACATTTTTGCAGTGTATTTTCATGTAGCCAACTAGTAACCACCAAATTTGTTTTTTACATAAACTTTTGAATATTGATCAGCAATACATTTTAAGAATTTCACGTAAATGGAAATATATATTAAGAAAAAAAAAAAAGCCACAAGATGACACCATGTACAAATTACAAGCACAAAAAAAAGTGGGAGGGAAAAAAATTAATATAAAATTAATCCATTAGGAATTTACAAGTAGCTTGCTCAATCAGACACAAAACAGAGTGACAATGCAGGAGATATTCCAAGTGTTTTACAGCATTGCACAACTACAAATCCCATGATGTGCCAGCCTTCAACTGTCAAAGCAGCTTGGGAGTTGTAGTTCAGCAATGCCCCCAAACCACTGTTGATCTTCAATCAGTTAAAATGAAGTGTTGTGCTGTAACCACCAGGCTCCTTGTTTATGGAGCCAAGACATATGTACAGTAGAAGTTACATTAAAAAAAAATAAATAAAAACCCACAACCACATCAAACTCTATACTCTGCTAGAGATTCCTGCAGGCTCCTTAGTGGTCGCCCAATAATTCAGGCAGTTTCACATGGGCCCCATAACCAGCAGGTTGACAGCTTCCTAGTACAGCTCGTTATGGACTGCTTCCCCCAGTGCTCTCAGCCAGCCTGGGCTCGGTGTCAGGGGTACTCACTGGCCAAACGCTGGGCCTCCAGTCCTGGCACAGGGTGCCCAGCCAGCTCCACCTTCTTGCCCCCCGGAGTGGCAGCCTGCGGGTACCCGGCCAGGCTGAGCGGGCCGAGCGGGCTGACCGTGCCCCCGTGCATGCCCAGCGGGTCCTCGTGCAGGAACTGGCACTCGTCGCCGTAGAAGCAGGTCTTGTCCTTGGCATAGTAACGGCAGAACTTGAGCTTCACCCCCACGGCCCCCAGCGGGGAGGCGGCCCCCGGGCTCGGCGAGGCGCTCAGCCCCGCGCTCATGGCCTCCCTGCTGCTCCAGCCCGGGCCGGCGGCATGGGGGAGGATCCCGGGGGGCTCCCGGTTGGCGGGAAGCAGAGGGACCCCTGCCCGGGGCCTGAACGGGCTCCCTATGGCTCTGGCAGGCGAGGCCTAGCAGGGGGAGAGGCCTGGCTGGCGGTGCGGCTCTCCGAGTGAGGGCTGGTGGCGGCTGGTATCGGCTGCTCGCACGCCCCCCCAGGCTGGGCCGCCCCCCCCGGAGCGCTCCCCGCTCTCTCCTTTATTATCGCTGGGGGAGCTGGGATCCTGGCTTGGTGCTGGGTTTGTTTTTTTGTGTTTTTTTTTTCTCTTCCTGAGCTGAGGCGGTCACTGCACATGCGCGGCGCGGGGCATCCTGGGAGCTGCTCTGCTGCTGGGTCTGCTCACACTGACTGCTCCCGCTGCCCTGTCAACGTGCAGAGCACGCCAGCCCCGCCCCCGGCTCTATTTAACACTTTCACTGCCGAGACCTGGCCTACTAATCCTCCAGCCCCGCCCCCGGCTCTATTTAACACTTTCACTGCCGAGACCTGGCCTACTAATCCGCCAGCCCCGCCCCCGGCTCTATTTAACACTTTCACTGCCGAGACCTGGCCTACTAATCCTCCAGCCCCGCCCCCGGCTCTATTTAACACTTTCACTGCCGAGACCTGGCCTACTAATCCGCCAGCCACGCCCCCGGCTCTATTTAACACTTTCACTGCCGAGACCCGCCGTGCTAATCCGCCAGCCCCGCCCCCGGCTCTATTTAACACTTTCACCGCCGAGACCTGGCCTACTAATCCTCCAGCCCCGCCCCCGGCTCTATTTAACACTTTCACTGCCGAGACCTGGCCTACTAATCCGCCAGCCACGCCCCCGGCTCTATTTAACACTTTCACTGCCGAGACCTGGCCTACTAATCCGCCAGCCCCGCCCCCGGCTCTATTTAACACTTTCACTGCCGAGACCTGGCCTACTAATCCTCCAGCATTCTGGCTACAACACTTTATGCGAGACCTGCGTGCTATCCTCCAGCCCGCCCCGGCTCTGTTTAACACTTTCACTGCGCTGCTGGACTGCTAATCCGCCAGCCCGCCCAGCTCTATTTAGCGCTCACACGCTGAGACCACGCCGTGCTAATCCCCAGCCCTGCACCCCGGCTTCTATTACTTACTTTCACGCCGTGCGCTGAAATCGCCAGCCCGCCCGGCTCTGACCCCAACACTTTCACTGTCGAGACCCGCCGTGCTAATCCGCCAGCCCCACCCCCCGGCTCTATTTAACACCTTCACTGCCGAGATCCGCCGTGCTAATCCACCAGCCCCGCCCCCCGGCTCTATTTAAAACTTTCACTGCCGAGACCTGCCGTGCTAATCCGCCAGCCCCGCCCCCGGATCTATTTAACACTTTTACTGCCGAGACCTGCCGTGCTAATCCGCCAGCCCCGCCCACGGCTCTATGTAACACTTTCGCTGCTGGACTGCTAATCCTCCAGCCCCGCCCCCGGCTCTATTTAACGCTTTCACTGCCGAGACCTGCCGTGCTAATCCGCCCGCCCCCGGCTCTATTTAACACTTTCACTGCCGAGACCCACCGAGCTAATCCGCCAGCCAGGCCCCTCGGCTCTATTTAACACTTTCACTGCCGAGACCTGCCGTGCTAATCCGCCAGCCCCGCCCCCGGCTCTATTTAACACTTTCACTGCCGAGACCTGGCGTGCTAATCCGCCAGCCCGCCCCCCGGCTCTATTTAACACTTTCACTGCCAGCTGCTGCCGTGCTAATCCTCCAGCCCCGCCCTCGGCTCTATTTAACACTTTCACTGCCGGCTGCTGGACTGCTAATCCTCCAGCCCCGCCCCCGGCTCTTTTTAACACTGCTTGCTGCAAACAGGCGCCTGCTGTGAGTGGGGGGAGGGTGCTGCCTTTAAAGGGCAATTATTATTATTTATTTAGATAGCGATTTAAGCACCTTAAAGACTTAGTGTAAATGAAGTTGTTATGGTGCCTGGAGTGTTCCTTTAAAGTTAAATCCCTTTGTTTATGAACCCTAGTCACACCTCCCTGCATGTGACTTGCACAGCCTTCCATAAACACTTCCTGTAAAGAGAGCCCTATTTAGGCTTTCTTTATTGCAAGTTCTGTTTAATTAAGATTTTCTTATACCCTGCTATGTTAATAGCTTGCTAGACCCTGCAAGAGCCTCCTGTATGTGATTAGAGTTCAATTTAGAGATTGAGATACAATTATTTAAAGGACCACTATAGTGCCAGGAAAACATACTCATTTTCCTTGCACTATAGTGCCCTGAGGGTGCCCCCACCCTCAGGGACCCCCTCCCGCCAGGGCTGGATGGCAAGGAAAGGGGTTAAACTTACCTTTATTCCAGCGCCGGGCAGGGAGCTCTCCGCCTCTGATCCTCCTCTTCGGCTGAATGCGCATGCGCGGCAGGAGCTGCGCGCACATTCAGCCAGTCTCATAGGAAAGCATTCATAATGCTTTCCAATGGATGCTTGCGTCGTCTCAATGTGATTTTCACAGTGAGAAGCACACAAACGTATCTAGTGGCTGTCAATGAGACAGCCACTAGAGGCTTTAGAGGCTGGATTAACCCATTTATAAACATACCAGTTTCACTGAAACTGCTATGTTTATAAAAAAAAAAAAAGGGTTAATCCTAGAGGGACCTGGCACCCAGACCACTTCATTAAGCTGAAGTGGTCTGGGTGCCTAGAGTGGTCCTTTAAGGTAAATTACATCTGTTTGAAAGTGAAACCAGTTTTTTTTTTTTCATTCAGGCTCTGTCAATCATAGCCAGGGGAGGTGTGGCTAGGGCTGCATAAACAGAAACAAAGTGATTTAACTCCTAAATGACAGTGAATTGAGCAGTGAAATTGCAGGGGAATGATCTATACACTAAAACTGCTTTATTTAGCTAAAGTAATTTAGGTGACTATATAATTCATATAGCACTCCCAGTCGGGGAGTCAGACTGCCAGGATGTGCCTTTGGAAGATTTCATAGGAATTATTAGGAATTATTTATTCATTAACTTTATTACAAGGTTATTCACTGAAGTAAAAATTGTTGGGGAGTTAATTTCACATTTAAAGTAAATAAAAATAGCCAAAATGAAAACAGAATTGACTGAGAATTCAAGGTGAATTTCACATTTTAGAACAAAAAAAGCTGAACTGGAAACTGTTGAAATACAGCATTTTTGCTAATTCAGCTATTCTGGCCTTCGGATTTCTGACAGGTCTCATTTTAGTGAATAAACCTGTGAATTTACAATGTTAGAAGAAAAAAAAAAGAGGTGAAAAGAAGTGCATCTGAGATTCTTATTCCCACAAATCACCTGCAATTTAAAATGGCTTTATTGAGTAAACTTGTAAGTGATTTAACCTTTGCCTGCTATGAGTTTGATACAGTGTCGAGTAGAATGATACAGGGCCAGGGGAGGATTCTTGCTAGCAACAAAGTTGCACTTTAGAAATGTTATTCATCATGATCTGCCTTGCTGAATTTAATCCAACAAGAATGAAAAATAGCAACTTCAAGGCAGTGTGCTAAATGCGTTGTAACCATCAGTAAACAAATATAATGTTTCAGCTTTTGTAACATCACCATTGTTGCAAATTCTGAATTTCAAATTTAAAGGGACACTGTAGGCACCCAGACCACTTCAGCTCATTGGAGTGGTCTGGGTGCCAACTCTCATCACCCTTAATCCTGCAAGTGTAATTATTGCAACTAGAGGGACTTCTGGCTTCTTAGACGAATTTTGGTCGTCTGAACGACGCTGGACGTCCTCACGCTATGCATGAGGACCTCCAGTGTCGCCTGAATCCCCATAGGAAAGCATTGAATAATGCTTTCCTATGCGGAGGTGTAATGTGCGCTTGCAGCCATTGCCGCGCATGCGCAGGAGGCCTCCCCCACCGGCGGATGTCGGCACGTGAGGAGCGTGAGCAGAGCCTGACCCAGGACATTGGCGCTGGATTCAGGTAAGTGTCTGAAGGGTTTTAACCCCTTCAGGGATGTGGGATGGAGGGGGGGCACTCCAGGATCCTCTAGTGCCAGGAAAACGGGTTTGTTTTCCTGGCACTGGAGAATCCCTTTAAGGCCAAAATAGGGAAACTGGAAATATTCTCATCAGCTGTGCTTTTCCAATTCAGCTATTTTGGCCTTGAATTTAAAATTAACTTCCTTAAAATTCCCACGTTAGCAAAAAACCCTACAGAAGTAGTGCTATTGTAAAAAAAAAATAAAAAAAAAATTCGGTAATAATACAGGGAGAAAGTGTCCCTAGTAAATTTTCAGAACGGAAGCCAAAAGAATGTTTCTGCTGTTTTGTCCACTTTTACAACCTTCTCCAGAATGCTATTTATCATATGTATGAATCTGTGAATTTAAGTTATGCATGGACTTAGCTGCATCCAATATTACCCCACAATGGAGCGACAGACATCAATGCCCTTCCTTTTTTTGTTATGTACACTAATTAATAAAAAGTTGAAAATCATCTAAATCTTCTGTAAAACCCTTTTTCATTTAAAGCTCTATTTTTGTTTAAATCCTGTCCTATGAATATAACCACTACAGTCCATTGTTGTGGTTATGGTGCTAGTGGTACCCTGCCAATCTGGGGGTTTATGGGGTTTTGGAAAATTACAGGGTCAAATATAGCACATTCCCTTTTTCAGTTTATACACATTAAAATTTGCCAGATTGGATATGTTACCTGTGAGACCGTAGAGCAGCCCAGGAATGAAAATTACCCCGATCGTGGCATACCATTTGCAAAAGTAGACAACCCAGGGTATTCAAACTGGTGTATGTCCAGTCTTTTTTAGTAGCTACTTAGTCACAAATACTGGCCAAAATTAGCGTTCATATTAGTTTTTTGCATTTTTCACAAATAAACTGCCCTTTCACGATGATATCATCAGCATCTTTACTGCTCTAAAACACTCACATTTGTGCCCAATAATGTCTCACAAGTACAACGGTACCCGCCATGTACAGGTTTCATGGCATTTTGGAAAGTTACAGGGTCAAATATAAGACTTGTCCATTGCTGTTTTTGCACATTTAAATTTGCCAGATCGGTTATGTTGCCTTCGAGACCATATGGCAGCCCAGGAATCAGAATTATCTCATCATGGCATACCATTTGAAAAAGTAGACAACGCAGGGAATTCAAAATGGGGTATGTCCAGTAGCAACTTAGTCAAAAACGTTGGCCAAAGTTGGTCAAAATCTAATTAATAAAATCACATAATTATGTTAAAAGATTACATAAATATGCACATAGAATTTTAATATACAGATATGTATTTAATTTCTATGTGTATACATATGTAATTATTTATGAAATGATATATATTTATTTAGTTTATTTGTTTAGGTAAGTGCAGCCAGCCCCTTGTTTTCTCATATATATATTTAGGAGTCTAGCCAACTCCTTGGTTTTGCACCCCTCCCTGTCACAGGTGCCTCATCCCTGGGTCCTATTTAGCCTTTTTAGTAAGTAGCTCATTTAGCAGAAATTTGGCTGTTAGGATAGGACCTGCCAAAGATGGGGTACATTGATGTTGTGGCAGGCTTATGCAATGTATGATCATATAATGTAACTAAACCCCCATTATTTTTTGCCTAGATTAGGTGTTTTTAAAAAAACTAACAAAATCTGTCAGCACCAGTTTTGCTGTTTAGTAGATGCATGTTTAGGTGAGTGCAACCAGCCCATTGTTTTCTTATATATATATATATATATATATATATATATATATATAGAATGCCATTCTATATTTGTATATATATGCATGTGTACAATTATTTTAACGTGTGTAATGATACTTTTATTTTCCCATTTTGCACCATTAGGGGGACTGCCTCACAGCTGGCAGATCCACAGGCACAGAATGATTCAAGAAGTCATGGTTAATATATATATATATACTAAATTCTTCGTGGGATTTAGTTATATACTATAGTATTTCAGTTTACCAAGTAATCTCCTGGTTTACATCATAGCAGGAGTGTCCTTGTAACTTAGCACAGTGCTGATACATTGTGGATTTCTTTGGACTATCATATTTTATTTGTTTCCAATTGGACATTTATTGATATAGTATCTCACAAAAGTGAGTACACCCCTCACATTTGTGTAAATATTTTATTATATCTTTTCATGTGACAACACTGAAGCGATGGCACTCTGCTACAATGTAAAGTGGTAAGTGTACAGCCTGTATAACAGTGTAAATTGGCTGTCCCCTCAAAATAACTCAACACACAGCCATTAATGTCTAAACCGCCAGAAACAAAAGTGAGCACCTTAAGAGGTGGCATTAACCCTTAAAGGTAATTACTGCAGTTTCTTAAAAATTAGGTCAGACTATTTTTTTGTAGGGTTAAAGGACCTGGGACAGTACACCCAGACCACTTCAATGAGCTGAAGTGGTCTGGGCAGGCCCAGACTGTCCATCAGGCAAACCGGTCAAATGCCTGGTGGGCCGCGATGGCCATGGGCCGAGGCCGGCAGGAGAGCTCAAGGGATCTCCCCTGCCAGCCCATGCAGGGCAGCACCAGCCCTAAGAGGGAGTTCTGTCCCATCACGGGCCAGTGGAAGAAAGATTGCTCAGTGAGTGAAACGCTCCGTGCATGCAGGGTAAGCAGCCTGTCTTCTCGCTAGTGCCAATATTATCAGAGCATTGCTATGGTAACCCGCAGCAATGGTCAGAAAAACTGGTGCTCGCGAGAGGCAGAGATGTGGTATGTACCCTGTGGAGGTACAGACTAAATAACCTGTCGGCTGGACCATCAGGGATCTGCATGCTCCATATCCCCCTGCAAGGTAATAAGGGGAAGGGGGGGAATTTATTTTTTGTTTTTTTAATTATTAAATTAATTATTTAAGCCTCTCTCCTACTAACTATGTCCACACACCCACTCATACTTACACAGAAACACACTCTAAACCCATATACACACACCACAGCCCCTGCACTAACACAAACTCACTACACACACTCTAAATTCTTATATACACACACTATAGCCCTTGCACTACCACACAAACACTTCACACACTTTATACCCATATATACACACACTAGAGTCCCTGCACTACCACACAAACACTTCACACACTTTATACCCATACAGGGAGTGCAGAATTATTAGGCAAGTTGTATTTTTGAGGATTAATTTTATTATTGAACAACAACCATGTTCTCAATGAACCCAAAAAACTCATTAATATCAAAGCTGAATATTTTTGGAAGTAGTTTTTAGTTTGTTTTTAGTTTTAGCTATGTTAGGGGGATATCTGTGTGTGCAGGTGACTATTACTGTACATAATTATTAGGCAACTTAACAAAAAACAAATATATACCCATTTCAATTATTTATTATTACCAGTGAAACCAATATAACATCTCAACATTCACAAATATACATTTCTGACATTCAAAAACAAAACAAAAACAAATCAGTGACCAATATAGCCACCTTTCTTTGCAAGGACACTCAAAAGCCTGCCATCCATGGATTCTGTCAGTGTTTTGATCTGTTCACCATCAACATTGCGTGCAGCAGCAACCACAGCCTCCCAGACACTGTTCAGAGAGGTGTACTGTTTTCCCTCCTTGTAAATCTCACATATGATGATGGACCACAGGTTCTCAATGGGGTTGAGATCAGGTGAACAAGGAGGCCATGTCATTAGATTTTCTTCTTTTATACCCTTTCTTGCCAGCCACGCTGTGGAGTACTTGGACGCGTGTGATGGAGCATTGTCCTGCATGAAAATCATGTTTCTTGAAGGATGAAGACTTCTTCCTGTACCACTGCTTGAAGAAGGTGTCTTCCAGGAACTGGCAGTAGGACTGGGAGTTGAGCTTGACTCCATCCTCAACCCGAAAAGGCCCCACAAGCTCATCTTTGATGATACCAGCCCAAACCTGGGCGTCTGAGTCGGACTGGAGCTCTCTGCCCTTTACCAATCCAGCCACGGGCCCATCCATCTGGCCCATCAAGACTCACTCTCATTTCATCAGTCCATAAAACCTTAGAAAAATCAGTCTTGAGATATTTCTTGGCCCAGTCTTGACGTTTCAGCTTGTGTGTCTTGTTCAATGGTGGTCGTCTTTCAGCCTTTCTTACCTTGGCCATGTCTCTGAGTATTGCACACCTTGTGCTTTTGGGCACTCCAGTGATGTTGCAGCTCTGAAATATGGCCAAACTGGTGGCAAGTGGCATCGTGGCAGCTGCACGCTTGACTTTTCTCAGTTCATGGGCAGTTATTTTGCGCCTTGGTTTTTCCACACGCTTCTTGCGACCCTGTTGACTATTTTGAATGAAACGCTTGATTGTTCGATGATCACGCTTCAGAAGCTTTGCAATTTTAAGAGTGCTGCATCCCTCTGCAAGATATCTCACTATTTTTGACTTTTCTGAGCCTGTCAAGTCCTTCTTTTGACCCATTTTGCCAAAGGAAAGGAAGTTGCCTAATAATTATGCACACCTGATATAGGGTGTTGATGTCATTAGACCACACCCCTTCTCATTACAGAGATGCACATCACCTAATATGCTTAATTGGTAGTAGGCTTTCGAGCCTATACAGCTTGGAGTAAGACAACATGCATAAAGAGGATGATGTGGTCAAAATACTCATTTGCCTAATAATTCTGCACTCCCTGTATATACACACACTAGAGTCCCTGCACTACCACACAAACACTTCACACACTTTATACCCATATATACACACACTAGAGCCCCTGCACTAGCACACACATACACTCTATACCCTTATATACACACTACAGCACCTGCACTAACACAAAAACACCTTACACCCCTATGTACACAGTGCATTCCCTGCATTAACACACTACTCACACTCTATACTAGGGATGTGCATGGGCAAAATAATTCGGTTCTGAACTTCGGTCTGGTTCGGTGGTTTGGTTCGGCAATTCAAAAATTCGGGACTTCAGCACTTCTGGACTTTGGGAATTTGAGACTTTGGCAATCCCCTACCCCTAACCCTACCCCCACTAGCATACATATAGCACTTGCAGCTGCAACTGGGCCTGTCACTTTAGGTAGCCCGGTCGACCTGCGGTCCCCAATGACCGGGTGCCTGCCGTCATCATTTGCGCGCGGCAAACCGCCGGTGGCCCCCGATGGAGATGGCTTTTCCGGGAGCCCGGTCAGCGTTGGGCACTTTAACAGCGCGACTGGGCCCCCTGTGGTGAGATCATCACACGCTGGCAGGAAGTGACTCCCCGTCACTCCTCCCAGCTATCACTGAGAGCCCGCTTGGGAGGAAGCAGAAGAGGGAGTCAGAGTGAGAACTCTGACTCCTATCAACCTGAGCCACCACTGAACCCCAGGGAAAGTCACCCTCCTGCACCTAAAAGGTAGGAAACAGGAGGGTGACTTAAATATTTTTTTTTGTGTGTGTGTTTGTATGTATTTATGTGCCTGTTTGTATGTATGTCTTGTGTGTACCTGTCTGTTTTTATGTGTCTGTCTGTTTGTATGTTTGTCGTGTGTGTCTGTATGTGTGCCTATCTGTTTGTATGTCTGTGTCTGTATGGATCTGTGTGTGTGTGTGTCTGTCTGTCGTGGGGGTAGTTAGAGAGGGGGAAGAGGGAGGGGGGCACCGGGGCCCCATGGGTTGTGTGTATGCCACTGCCTAACCCTACTCCTCACTCTAGGGTTAGGGTTATTGTTAGAGGAATTTTGGGATTGGGGTTGGTGTAGGGCTAGGTTTAGAGGAAGGTTGGGGTTAGGGTTAGGGGTAGGGTTAGATTCTTGTTATCATTCCCTTAATTTTCCCTCCCTCTCCTGTTTTGCCACTTTTTAGAAATCCAAGGCACTTTGGACATTCGGATGCAATTTGTCAGAATTTAAATTTGGACCGAAACTAATTGCACATGTCTACTCTCACACTACACACACTCTGTACCCCTATATACACACACTATACCCCCGGCACTAACACACAAATACACTCTATACCAGTGGTTCCCAAACTTTTAAGGTTCAAGGTGCCCTTAATATTTTAGTATTTTTCCCAAGGCACCCCAAGTCAAAATGTCTAGGTTGCGTATCTGTACAGAGCTGCAGCATTTACTGGCGCTATAGTGTAATGTACAGTGTTGGTGTTTGAAGAGGTGCTTGTATATAGTTATTGTGTTTTTTAATACAGGGGTGTGTTTGCTTACCTTATGTGCCAGGAGGGTGGCTTGGAGTCCTGCTGGCTGCTGTGGGAGTGAGAGGTCTGGACTCTGGAGCTCTTCATGTTTCTCTCCCCTCACTTTGCGGCTGCCTCCTCCCGCGCTGTCTCCCTGCAGGATGCTGGGCGGAAGGGACAGGCTGTCACATCCTCCCGGCCGACATTACAGGGATCTGGTCGCGGTCTTAAAGTGCTAATCATAGCACCGGGGAAACATTCCGCGGCACCCCTGTTTGCACGTCATAGAAACATAGAATGTGACGGCAGATAAGAACCATTCGGCCCATCTAGTCTGCCCAATTTTCTAAATACTTTCATTAGTCCCTGGCCTTATCTTATAGTTAGGATAGCCTTATGCCTATCCCACGCATGCTTAAACTCCTTTACTACGTCAACCCCTGTTTGGGAACCACTGCTCTATAGCCTTATATACACACTACAGCCCTTGCACTAAGACACTACACCACCCACACTCACACAAACACACTACACACATAGCACCCCTGACACACACATATACACACACACACTATGTGTGGCTAGTGACCACACATAGTACGCAACAAACAGACCCCTTTACACACACAAAATAACACAAATAGTCTGACCTATACACATGCAATCTCAAAAGCAGCCTTCAAACACATACATCATCACAGGGAGCAGCTCCACACATGCACAACACACTTTGACAGCCCTGTTCCACTTTTTTTTTTCTCTGGTATCCCGATGTTGAGAAACAGAGACAGGTCACCAGCAAGGGCAGTGCATGATTACATTGCACAACACCCCCCCCACCCACCCCCCTAAAAAAACAGGGCATTTACTTCACCCCAGATCACTGAATGCTCTGAAGGGGCATCACACTAACCTACTGATTTGGTAGGGTAGGAGGGGGGCGTGCTTTTTAATGGTGATTACAAAATACGCCCCCTTTCTGCCCCCCACCCCACTAGTGGGCTGCTCTGTCTTTAAGTCCTCGGGCCAAATTTTTGTCCCAGTACTGCCCTGGGTCTGGTTGCCTATAATGTCCCTTAAAGATGGACCTGGAAAGAGATAGGGGACAGGATTAAAACCCCGGTGCCATATCATTGCAACATTTACCCTATTAAATACAAGAAGTCACGTCCTAAACTATTGAGCAAGCTAATAAAAGTCGCAAAAGGGTTTCTGATAGGTTGCCAAATAGCTTGATTCATGTTGTTTCATGAATAAAGCTATTTATGGCTGCAGTACTAGCTTTTCTATAGAAAGTTCTAAAAAGAAGCATATGCTGTACAAATACTTTTACCAAATTCATGGAAGATGCGTGGAATGTTCATTTAATCTTTATTTCTGATGACAATAAATAATTTTGGAAAATATACCTTTTTATGGAACATCCATTCCAAATGTCAAAAGCAATTGCATTTTTTTTTTTTAAATCTTTGTCCCAAATAAAATATCAAAATGTCTTGATAATTGGTTTTGTGTTAATCCAATAAGAAGAATTAAAAATTATTGGCTATCTTTGATTTAAAGTGTTACTCCAACTACCATGACCACATCTGCTTTAAGAAGTGGCCATGATGGTAGGAGTCAGTATGTACAGTATTTCAGTTTGAAACACCTGCACATGCAGTGGTGTACACACAAACCATGGGCCCCGGTGCAAAACTGATCCGTGGAACCCCCCTCCCTATTCTCCCTTATCTTCCCCCCGACAGACAAACACACATAAATACATACATGCATACAGACACCTACAGATATATACAGACACATACACACATACATCCAAACAGACAGGCACACATATATACAGACAGACCGACACACTCACAAACACAGACAGGCACACACACATACAGACAGGCACACAGACAGACACACACGAACATACATGCAGACATACAGGCACACACATACAGACACACAAGCACATACATACAAACAGGCACACATACATACAGGAAGACACACACAAACACACACACACAAAATGTTTAAGTCACCCTTCTGTTTCCTACCTTTTAGGTGCAGGAGGGTGACTTTCCCTGAGGTCCAGTGGTGGCTCAGGTGGATGGGAGTCAGAGTTCCCACTCTGACTCCCTGTTCTTCCTCCTGTGCGGGCTCTCTGTATGCTGGGAAGAGTGACGTGCGGTCACTTCCTCCCAGCTCTGTGTGATCTCATCACAGGGGGCCCAGTCGTGCTGTTAAAGCGCCCAGCGCTGACCGGGCCCCCTGACAATCCATATCCATCGGTGGCCCTCACAGCATGGGCCACCCAATGGACCCCTTGGCCGGCAGCCCCGGCGGTTTGCCGCGTGGGCCAGGGCCGCAAAAGATGATGGTGGGTACCCGGTCGCAGGGTGGCTGGGCCCCCTGGAGTGACGGTCCCGGTTGCTGCTGTGACCCATGCGACCGCGGTATGTACGCCGGTGTGCACATGTAAAAATATAGGAACTTGTGTGCTGGGGCAACTTACACCTCCGACACACATGACTTTGGCAGTCCAGAACTTTTGTGTATAGATCATACCCCTGCAGTCTCATTGTTCAGGTCTCTACCAGTGAGACTTCAGAGGCACAATCTATGCACAAAAACATCTTAATTAAGCTAAAGTTATTTTGGTGCCTATAGTGTCCCTTTAAAGTGAAATTGCCACTTTACTATTGGTGACAGTTCCATTTTCCATAATACATATACTGGTGTGACACACACAGTAAAGATAAGTACAAAACCCACTTACTTTCTCTGAGATTCTGCCTGTCATTTGCCTGAGATAAACAGCACACTGGACATATAAATGGAATCATGGAACAATCTGACATTCTGTCAGAAACCAGGTCTAGCATTCTATACAAACACAAATAAAGAGCAAATAACTTTATGAATATTGTTTTTTTAGAGTTGCAATTCACCTTTGGCTGTAGTTAGTATAGAGCTTTAAGCTAGTTACATGACATGCCTGGTTATTAGCTATAGAAATGCATTGGAGCCATTTTCAGAATGTTTGGCTGTACTGAACAAGCTCAGTGTTTTGCCCACATAAATCAATTGGAGACTGATCAAGATATTATAGACATTTTATGGTTGTATAGTTTGGAGGAAAGATGAGAGGGGGGGATATTAAATACATAAAGGGAATCAACACAGTAAAGGAGGAGACTATATTTAAAAGAAGAAAAACTACCACAACAAGAGGACATAGTCTTAAATTAGAGGGACAAAGGTTTAAAAATAATATCAGGAAGTATTACTTTACTGAGAGGGTAGTGGATGCATGGAATAGCATTCCACTTGAAGTGGCAGAGGTTAACACAGTGAAGGAGTTTAAGCATGCGTGGGATAGGCATAATGCTATCTAGATATAAGACAAGGCCAGGGACTAATGAAAGTATTTAGAAAACTGGGCAGAATAGATGGGCTGAATGGTTCTTATCTGCGTCACATTCTATGTTTCTATGTTGCTGTATCATGTCAGCTCATTCAGAGGAAAGCTTGCAAAATAGGAAATGTATGGGATATTTCTTAAAACAAAAATGCATTTTTACCACATTATTAAGATCATTCAAGTGGGTGTTAAAATCCACATTTATTTACATTTTTTCTCACAATGTGCTGAAATCTTTTTTTTCCCTTAACCGACACCACCTTTTGTTTGTTTGTTTTACAATTGTATGTACAGCCTGTCTGTTGTTAACCACATTATTTAAAAAACAGAACAAACATTCAAACATGTGTCTTTTGCCCTTCATGAACAAGGGATGGCAAAGAAGCAGTGGCCGATTACTGGCTGGATTGATTTCATTTAGTGACTTTAATTCAGCAGCACTATTTTTACCTTTTTTTTTATTATTTTTTGTTAACATCACTAATAGAAACCCCTGGGGCTGTTATGATTTAATCCCCAGATGTTGCTGAACTACAACTCCCATGATTCTTTGAATTACATAGATAGCCAGAGACTCATGGGAGTTGTAGTTCAGCAACATCTAGGGGGCCAGAGTTTGAGGACCCCGATTTATGGGATAGGTGAGATACCTGTTTAGGACCAAAACTCCCTCGTAGTTTCTATCCACTCACCTCTCCCGAAATTAAGTAATTAGCAGCAGGTAATATTTTTTTAAGGATACTGAGTACTGACACTTAGAAAAATACGTGTTTTTTGTTTAAACCGCTCAGGACAGCAGTGCAATTTATCAGAGAAAACTGTTTTTATTTTATTTGTTAGATTATTTTATCTAGGATAGTTAGAATCCCTGAATGTTTAAATTAGTGCTCTACAAGAGCTTGGCTGTTGTTTGCAGTATTTTGAATCACCTGTTAATTTGATTTAATCCCTCAAGGACCGAGGGAATTTCCTAAATTGAACCAAAACAAAACATTGAATTTGTGCTATTGGTTTGTTTCACTCTAATTTAAGTGTTTCTCTTTAAGTGCCAGCAAACCTATTATATATAATTTTTTTAAAGGACAGAAAGGGCTTTCATTTAACATCCTATATGTATAACAATGTCTGTGACTAAAATTTTAAAAATGGGGGGGAAAAAATTGAAAGAAAAAAAAACTATTTTTGCTTATAATAATTTTAACACATCCAGTGCAACTAATTACAAAGAACCCCTATATCAGCCCTGATTGTTAAATGCCTAAAATGTTTAGGATCTAAAGTCATTTTTGATAATATTAACCCTATACCAACCCCCACACTAACACTATACCAACCATAACCCTTATTCAACGCTCACACTAACTCTAACTGTATGCTTCCCCTAATGTTCCCCTAATCTTACCCTTAACCCTACACAATCCCTAACCCTAAAACAGCAGTAACATGTACCTGTACTCCTGTTAGGTAAAGATTCTAAATAAAAATAATGAAATCATTATTTACCAAAAATGTTTTTTGTTTTTTTCCCTCTAATCTGTTCCAATGGAACTTCATATGTTTTTCAAATATATCCGCCTCCTATTGAACCATTAAAGGGCCATGGGCCTGCTTTTGTGTGAATGTTGTCACCTCTCAGCACCCCCTCTGTTTGGGAATGCCTCTGACTGCTGCTTTCCAAATGCCTGTCACCCCCCTCTGCTGACCTAAATGTGCTAATTTCAGTGCCAGCACCTCCACTGAATAGAGTGATGTCTGATGGGACTCCGTGAGGGAGGAACTTTTTTTCCTTTTTTTCTTTGAAGTCTTCTTCATGCGGTATTCATAGCATGCAGGAAACATGATCTTGGAGGATCTTATCCAGCTCTTCATCCAAGGTGGCTGGCTTTCAATCGGTACGTTTGCAACCTCCAGCAAAAGAAGGATGGCTGGAGGAGGCCACGAGGATGGCTGCAGGAGGTACCAGGACGGCTGGACTAGGCAATGAGGATGGCTGCAGGAGGTACCAGGACGGCTGGAGGAGGCCATGAGGATGGCTGCAGGAGGTACCAGGACGGCTGGAGGAGGCCATGAGGATGGCTGCAGGAGGTACCAGGACGGCTGGAGGAGGCCATGAGGATGGCTGCAGGAGGTAGGGACGGCTGGAGGAGGCCATGAGGATGGCTGCAGGAGGTACCAGGACGGCTGGAGGAGGCCATGAGGATGGCTGCAGGAAGTACAAGGATGGCTGGAGGAGGTACCAGGATGGCTGGAGGAGGCCATGAGGATGGCTGCAGGAAGTACCAGGATGGCTGGAGGAGGCAATGAGGGTGGCTGCAGGGAGTACCAGGATGGCTGGAGGAGGCCATGAGGATGGCTGCAGGAGGTACCAGGATGGCTAGAGGAGGCCATGAGGATGGCTGCAGGAGGTACCAGGATGGCTGCAGGAGGTACCAGGAGGGCTGGAGGAGGCCATGAGGATGGCTGCAGAAAGTACCAGGATGGCTGGAGGAGGCCATGAGGATGGCTGCAGAAGGTACCAGAATGGCTGGAGGAGGCCATGAGGATGGCTGCAGGAGGTACCAGGATGGCTGGAGGAGGCCATGAGGATGGCTGCAGGAGGTACCAGGATGGCTGGAGGAGGCCATGAGGATGGCTGCAGAAGGTACCAGGATGGCTGCAGGAGGTACCAGGTTGGCTTATGACATGACAGGCATGGACTTTGTGGATTATGCCGGTAATTACAGAGGCAATAAAAACAGAAATGTGCAAAGTGCATGAATGTTTCGCATTAACCCTTACTTTACCCTAACTATACACAAACCCTAACTCTAACTCTAACTGTAACCCTACCCTATTCTTATCCCTAAATCTAACCCTACCATAACCCCACCACAAACCCCAACCCTAACATAACCAATTATTTTATCGCTGTTTAACACAACAGATGATTACATGTTGCCACCATCTACTGGCCATTTTCAGAACTACGCTTAGTGAAGCCTGGTTCCCAGCTGATTATACAGAGATCATGCTGGACAGTTGGCAAAGCTGGGAGACCCTACCAGAGTCTAAACAGCCTGCAGCCCAGAAAAACTGAAATCCTTATTGGAGTTAAAGGGCTCTGTGCAATACTGACATCCAGCTCTGCACAGAGCTCATCTGTAAAGTTGGGGCCACTAAAATTGGCCACAGCTGAATAATAAGAGCTCCCAGGTACCCATGAATACCTACTCTGTGTAGCACAATATAGATGTCTTAGTGTGTTAAAGCCAAGGATGTAATTTGTTTATTTTTTGGGTAAAATTGCTTCTGTCTGCGGCTGTTTATACCCTAGATCAGCGTTTCCCAATTGGTGTTCCCGGGCGATTTTTCCCATCGAGTGTCCCATGCACTTAGAGTCACTTGATTGGTATCGCTGAACAGGGGCCCAGTCAGGCGCTGCGGCCGATTTAAGAGCACGCTCCGCGCGGCACGCAGGCCGCAAGTCTCGCGAGAGTTATTGGAAGAGAGAAGAGGCAGTGTGCTGGGCCCCCTCTGCAGTAACAGGGAGCCGGGGGCCCCACCATGCCACCTGACCACCAGGGACACAGGTAAGAAGCAGGGAGGGGGAAGAAACATTTAATTAATTTAATATAAAATTAATGTGAAAATGCCCCTTCCTTTCACCCCCCCCCAGACTGCACGTTTACACACACACTGCATACACTAACACAAAACACACACTGCATACACTAATACAACACACACTCTGCATACAATAATACAACACACACGCTGCATTCGCTACACATTAACACACTCTGCATTCAATACACACTCTCTGCATCCGCTACACACTAACACACTCTCTGCATCCGCTACACACTAACACACTCTCTGCATTCGCTACACGCTAACACACTCTCTGCATTCGCTACACGCTAACACACTCTCTGCATTCGCTACACACTAACACACTCTGCATTCACTACACATTAACACACACTCTGCACTAACACACACTACATTCATTACACTGACACTCTGCATTCACTACACACTAACACACACCCTGCATTCACTAAACTATGCACACACTCTGCATTCACTAAACTATGCACACACTCTGCATTTACTATACTGACACACACTCTGCATTCACTACACTAACATACACTCTGCATTAACTGTACACACAGCATCCACTACACAAACATCCTGTATTCACAGTACACACACTACATCCACCACAAATTGAAACACTCTGCATTCACTATACTCAGACACTGCGTCTAATACACACACTGCATCCACTAAACACATTTCATCTAGTACACCCACTACATCACTGTACACGCAGTACATCCACTACTCAAACACACTATGCGTTCACTATACACACTGCATCCGCTACACAAACAAACACTCTGCATTCACTGCACAAACAG